GATTTGTTCCTGCACCTCCAGGCTCACTCTGCCCTCTTCAAATCCCTGTTTGATTTTTACACATAGAGGAACTCATGCCAGTCCCCCACTGGCATGATAGCAAGTCTGATCATGTGGATTAATATGCATTATACAGGTGCTAAGTCCAGACATCTTACTTTGAAAAGACAGCACTTTTCCATCTCCTCAAGAGCTTTATTCAAGAGCTTGTAATCCTGCTTCAATCAGCTCCTTTTTCCCTTTTCTGTGTAAAGATAAGCTTGCATTTACCAACTCTGCCGTGCACCCTGAACACACCACTGGCTAATTAATATGCAGCAGATAAGCACTTGTCTGAATAAATGCATTCCTTTGACCTACGCTAAACGGACATAAGTTCAGCACAAGTTCACCGGAGTTATTTCTACAGCACAGTGGGGACTTGTTTTTGTATAGGGTTTAATTTGGACAGCTCTTTTTCCCTCCTCACTTTGTCAAATTGTCTTCTGACTTTCATTTAGTAGCTACTCTCTGTTTCTTAATTGCCCCTAATTGCTTAATTACAATTTCAAATGAACAATTCTGGAGGTCAGAGCTGGTTGTTAATTGAAGCATCAATCACAGCGCTGAGGCCTTCACCAGCATCACAGTTTGATTGGCAGCGCATTAACGCAGCATTGTAGTGCTTTGGACATGACATTGTGTGGAGGCGACATGGCTGTTTCTGCTGCTCGTACTGTCCTCAAGTGTGAAGGAGAATAGTACCGGAACTCCAATATGTGATCTGACTTTCACCCCAATCTCAGTAGACTATTAATTCAACTCATTAAAGGTGCATTATGTAACTTTTATTCTTGTCTCCTTGAAGATGTTATTGCTCTTCCTGGAATGTTCCTCAGAATGGCATAAAACTTATTGCCTGGCGAGTCACTCCCTCCTATTTTCTGTTCCAGACCGTAGAGAAAATCATCAGCGCATCAGAAAACCATCCAGTTTTGGGCCATTCCAATCACAGCTGCTCATTTATATACCATGTGTCTCTCGAATACAGAACACTGTATTTTTATCTTTCTGTTTTTCTTGTAAGCTGATATATTTGTTTTGACACTAATGGAATACTGTATGCGTTTCTCTGATTGGTTAATCTGCATGTCAGTCAATCACTGCCAAAAATCCAAGGCAAAGAAATAACATCACCATTTGACAAACAGGTGGTAGACCGTCCACTAGAAAAGTTACATAGTGCACTGTTTAAATTTGAGAAAGACCTTTATTACTAACCAGGCCTATCAATCATAATCACCATCTTACCACGCATCTTATACTGCATACACAAATAGTTACAAATGAGAACCAGAAGGGTGGTCCACTGGCAAATCCTGAAAACCGTATCTCTTTAGATTTCAAAAGCTCCATGTTAAATACACAAAAGCTTATCTATCTGTGAGAATGAAAACCAACCCATCACTATACAAAAGATTGCTCTAAATGTTACAGCATTTTACCAGTGAAATCTTGGACTGCAGTTCTAGTGCCGCAGTCCTGTATGTAACCGGATTAAAAAGCAGATCTAATTCAGTAGAAAGGCCCTTCAGTGTTCATGTCAAGTCGATTTTCTAGCATTGATGCAACATTACACATTTTCTTTCAAAGCCTTGTGTATCTACGGCAGCCTCCACCCTGAGACCTGGTGTAGCATGTAAGAGCCAGTTAACCTATATTTTTACACTGTGCCGTTCACTTTGATCGTCTGCTTGTCCGCCTTCCTCCACCACCTGCACCTGCTGCTTTTATCCTTGGCTCTTCCTCTCACCTCCTTCCTCTCCTCTCTCTCTCTCTCTCTCTCTCTCTCTCTCTCTCTCTCTCTCTCTCTCTCTCTCTCTCTCTCTCTCTCTCTCTCTCTCTCTCTCTCTCTCACTCTGTCTATCTTTTCCTGCAAAAGCGAAGGGAGGTACATGTGATTATGGGCTGCTTTTCTTTGTGTGTGATCGGTCTCAAACTCTTGTCTTGCTGCCTAATGGAGCTTCCTCTCCACTCAGCCATGCCATCCTTCCTTATTTGGTATTTCATGTTGTTTTATTGCACTTGTACATTTTGGTGATTGATATTGTGAACACGCATAGTACATAATGGTATTATGAAGTTTGTTTGTTTGTTTTTTATTTTTAGTACAATTTTGCTCTTTTGTTAAAGGTGTGAGTAACTTTTCTGGAGGAGGATCTGCCATCTGTGTTTCCATTCAGATAATATTGCTTTGCCTATGAATGTTTCACAGTATGACAATAAATTTAACCATGGAAACAAGTACATGACACCACCATGCCAAGTTACAAGGCAGATCTGTGGGGAAGAGATTCCGGTCACAGAGGGAGAGCATGTTTTTGGCTATGCCATGCCAATGGCATCTCCATAGAGCAGACTCCAAAAGAAAAGTTACATGATGCATTTTACACTGGAAAATTTGAAGCAAATAACATCAATAAAACATATGGGATAAAAGTTGCTTCCAATTGTATAGGTTCACTTCAGGTTCTATAATAAAACACATGCCTCCATTTTGTCTGCCCAAACCAGTTCTGACTACATTTGCTTAATATCTCATACATATTTCTATCTGTCTCTCCCATCACTCTATTAGTTGCATTTAGCTGTTTTCATCATCTCTTGCCTTTCCTCCTGTATATGTGTATATGTGTGTTTTGTTTTTCTGTTGTTCTTCCTCCTCCTCCACCTCCTCCTCCTCCGCCTCTTGCTGCTGCTCCTCTCTCCTCTGGGGCTCCATCCATCAGGTTGTCGGGGGCTGCTCGCGGCCCACTCGCACCCACCATATTTCAGCAGCAGCCAGCCAAGCAACTGACAGCGCCGCCACCACCAGGAAATTGCTTTGGCTGTGAGCAGAATTTCAAACGCATACGAAGACGCACACACAAGCCGGGGCCGAGTGAGCATGTCTTTACCTTTCTCTCTCTCTCTCTCTCTCTCTCTCTCTCTCTCTCTCTCTCTCGCTCTACATCCTGATATCTCATTCTCTCACTCCACTCTACTGTCAATCGCTTCATTTCTATATCTTTCTTTATGTACCATTTTGTTTTCTCATATGCATTTGCCACTATCTATCGCCATGCTCTAGTTATACTCTCCTCCTTTTATGCCCTATAGGGAACAGTGTAGAGCCGCATCCATAATGAGATTGGTTAATTATGCTTCAGAATATAATTGTAAATAGAAGGAAAATGCAGTGATCTCAATAATTACTTAATAAAGACAAAGTAGTGCTTATATTAAAGCTGCACTATGTCACTTTTCTGGAGGAGAATATGGCACCTTGCCTCCATGAATATTACGATGCTTTACCTGAAATTTTACATATTATGACATTTCCATACGGCATTTTCATTTTAACAATTACAGATGTTTTTATTGCCCAAACGTACTGTGTGAATCACGCATTCTTACAGTGGGTGGCCTTGCTATGTAGATGACAGATGCATATCTTCTTGAAATAATTAAGTTTAATGCCATACTCTGGAACATTCCAGGCAAAACAATAACATCTCCAAATATAGTAAATAATAAATAAGTAAAAGTCACTGACATTTCTAAATCTTCACCCAAAATTGTAGTATGTTATGTTTACAGTGTTAGAAATTATCCTAAAATATTGTTAGTATGAAATATTATTGTGTTTCTGTATGTGATTAAAAAAACACTTATCACATATTCATATAGTATTGCCTGCAAACGATGACTGCTAACCGTGGTTGTGGTGAACGATGAAGATGAGGGAAAGGAGAATGGAGGATGCAGATAAAGCCTCCCTGAGTCTGTGTCACGACTGTTTTATTTAGCTCCACCCAAAAAGAGGGAGACAGGGCGGTGTGCTGCTGTGAACTTAGCAGGAGATCATTACTTAGCATAGGCAGCCAAACCTAATCCCTTTTCAGCTTGTGTCTTAGCATACATAATGTCCTCATCATCCAGTTCTAATATCTCATAAGGTTCATTCATTACACTGCTCATTAGAGGTGGTGAGTCAGAATTGCTGTCTGAGTAGAACTATGGTGGGGAAGTTTTGAATTTGTTCGAGTGAAAATATTTTCAATAATTCTCAAGTTATTTAATCACAGGAATTATTCAGGTCCATTAAAGGGCTATTTGCAAGGACAGCATGTTCATTTTCCTTTCAGTGCAACACAAAGTTACCAAAACCTGAATTGACAAAGCTCCTGACTCCACAAAACTTTGAGTCAGATATCAAAATGTTGATTTTGTGTAATTATCTTATTTACACATATTCGATCTTGAATCCTTCAATGACAAAAATTGAATAAATCACTACAAAATAGCATCTGTTGAGAAAAATAATGCCATTCTGAAATGGTAATAGAAGTAAAGGATGTGTACCTTTTGAAAAAGACAAATGCTTATAATGTATAATCAGTAGAAAGCATAGTCATTGTGCTAACTATATCGTAAATATGTGTAATATCTGGAGTATTGACAGATATCCCCTATTTGTGCTGATATAACATAAAGTGAGTTTTCATGAACACTTCAAATCAAACAGAATAACTTTCCTCAGTTGGACTTTCTTTTGATTACTCTTTCTATTTTGTGTTTTATTTTTATCTCATGGTCCAGGGCCAACATCACACTAAATCTGATAAGTACATTTGTGTGAATGTAACAAATGCCTCTTCCCTGACACTGCGTTTCTCCACATTTGTGCTGATCTCAGTCTGAAGTCTGCAGTGCCCTTCACAAGGACAGTGTGGCTGAAGTGATGTGTGGGTGGTATCGCTCCTTTCAGCTATCGAGCCTATTCTCACTTTGTACTATCGGGGGGTTTGGAGCGGTCCCTTGGGTGACAGCCTCCTCCCTGCTGCAGCCCCCCCTGTGGCCAAAGAAAGCATTGCTAACTCCCAATGGGTACGCCCTGGTTGTGGACTGTTGCTCAAAGTGTCAGACAAACCGCCCTGTGCTAACCTTTTCTGTCCATTTTTCTGTCTTGTCTCCATCAGAGGGTGAGCTTGGAGTTCTACATCGATGCCCACTCCACCATGCTCAACGGCTTCATGTACGGCAATGTTTTTGAAGATGAGGAGCGCGTCCAGAGACAGGCCGTGTTCCCCCGACTGCTGTGCCAAAATGCTCCAGACTTCTCCTTTGTAAGGCCCACTGCAGACACATGCTTCAGAGGGTGGTATAAGACAAGCAGAGAGGCACTCCACCCCCAGCTGTTGCAATGTTTTTGAATTTCTTTGAAGTGTCTTTTCCTACATTTACAGTAATATTCAATGGTTTAAGTGAGATGTGGAATTAAATCCAGTCAAGGGTGGATTTTTTAATAACCTTTGAATATTTATTGTTAAATCTAGTGAATAATTTAGGTTTGGGCCTAGATCTTTCTGAAAAAACAAACAAACAAAAAAACAAAAAACATTTATCTAAATGAGTTCTGGCGAGAGGTTCTATATTAAAGTAGCCTTCCCTCAAAGTAGTATAATTTTATATAATTGCACTTTATGCGGTTCTAGTGTATAGCTTATTCATATATAACTCAGACTTTAGTTTAATATACCAAGCTAAAATCTAACCTAAAGAAAGTGTTGATTAAAACAACAGACGCTTCTATTGTGGTCTGTCCCTGAATGTACAAAGGTGCGAGGAAGTTCAGCCTATGTATTATTAAGTTGAATACACTTATTTTAGTCGAAGACACAAAAGCTCACACTTGTACTGAAGGTGTGAAGTCGTCTGAGGAGATAGGTGTGGAGCAGAAGCTGGACCAGCTGTGCAAGGCTCTCACCTTGACTTCACAAATCTAGGCTCTGTACTGTGAAACTTATAAAAGGTGTGGAAAAAATTATAAATACACAATGTCATGGTAAACATTAATAGGAAAACAATCATTCAAAAACACAAGGCGGTTATGCACAATATGCAGTGCAGAAACCATTACATCCTGTCAAAACAATACACAGAAGTACAGAATAATAAATAGTCAAACAGACAGTTACAAAGTAGAGTGTAGAAAACCTGTATGGGTGCCTTGGGAGACTTGGTGTATGTGATGCACCTTCCTTATATTCTTCTCCTTCCTTATAGCTGCTCCTTCCTTATAGGCTGCTCCTTCCTTACAGGTACATTTCCTCTAAACTGTTTCCTCTCAGCTCTGTGTCACTTTCCTGACCTTTGATTCCTCAGTGATGGTGACATTTCACAGCAGAGCCACTTTACACACATCATAAAGAATAGCCTTTATAGCCCATTGACACTGGTGTCAGGCTCCACTCCGAGGCAATAGAGGCTGATGTTCAGCCATACATGTATGGAAATGTCAGTGCGGAGAGTGTGGACGATGAGTAAAAGGCTCTGTCTCTGTCTCTGTGCTGCCTGGGTGACAGATGGCTCAGGGGTCACCTCCCTCACTGTGGTTTTGTCCCTGTGCCCATTCAGCAGTACCAAACCCCAGCAGCAGCAGCACAACACAATCACCGCTAACTCCCCCCGGTGGCCCCAAGTCTGCAGTTCAGCACCACAACTCTCGCTGTGCCTCGGACTGACAGTGAAAAGAAACTTTTTACACACTCCTCCCAAGACAGAACACTTTTTGAGCAGTTTAGCTGACACACTCAAAGACCAAAATAGACTTTTTTTTTCTGCAGAAGCCATTTAACCAATCTTTGAAATGACTTTGTATGAAGGGACTCGAAAACGCTGAGGCCCCAGCCTTTTAAAAGGCTTCACTCTGCGGTTAATTCTGTATAGTATAATGCATAACAAATGGTATAGTTATTAAGATTGGGATGGTATCAGCAATGCAGAGCCTGTTTTTGTTTTGCCTTTTGTCCCAAAGACAATAATTAGTAATACATTTGTTTGACTTGTGGCTTGATTATTGCAATCATTGATCAGTACTTGGACATTTTTATTACGGTATGTACAGAATTATTTGAGCAAAAACTATATTTTTACATGGCAATGGCTTTCTTCCAAAAACTTTCCAATGCTCAAAGGGTATATTCTGTCTCCCCTCTGGCATCTATTTCTTGCTTTAACTGTCACCAAATCCTCTGAAGTATTGCTGATCTAACTTTGATAGTGTCCTGTTTTCTCATATTGCGGTGTTACTGTCTGCCCTTGTAGTCAAACACATCCTTTAACCGGGACGTGGTGAAGGCCGGGACGGGCCGCAGGTTCCTGGGTGGTCTCCTTGACGACACGTCATACTGCTACACTCTGGAGGTGTCCTTCTACAGCTACATGACAGCCGGCAGCAGCGCCCCTGTGCCCTACACTGAAGACACCTGTATCCTCTACCATGGAAAAAAAGATTCACAAACAGTCCTTTTCATGTGAATTTAAATACACACTCGTGTTTGTTTGTTCCTACTTTGTGCATCCTCGTAAGGTCATTGGAAAGCTGTTGCTCTTTTGTTGCGGCTTGTTGCGACAGATGTGCACCAGCAGAATGGGGGATGTGATAGCCGTGTCTATTGATTTCATTTACAAAAGGAGACGAGAGAATGGGAGCTAGTGTTGGCGTATGGAGAGCAGTGTGCAGCTTTGATTGCGATAAACAATGGAACAATGGAGTAAACATGATTCTTGTCAACTTCAATCACACACACATACACACAGACACATACAGTCTCATTAATGCTCTCGTAACAGGAAGCAAAGGTCATATGCCTTAATTGAGCCAGATAGCACCAAGTTTTCCTTCAGGTGACCTTCTTGGGGCTAAAGAGCTCCTTACAGCCAGTCAAAGGCAACAGGATCTGAGCGATAAGTGAGCGAAAAGGAGGAGAGATTTAGAGAGATAAACAAAACATATAGAAACTGCTCTTGGAAACCCATATACTTTTACACAGGAGGGTAGGAGAAGGGGAAGTGATGCAGTGCCCTCTAGTGCTAACAGTAGGCACAGAATACTTTAAATCTGGTTTAAAATATTTGCCTAAATAATCAGGGCTTGTAGGAGATGAACTTGAAACAACAGGATCTCACAATGCCTAAATTAAATGTTCAGCTGAAGAAAACCAGCATCATATTCATCCAGTTCTAATAATTCGGCTGCCTTGAAAGTTTTAATGCCCAGTCATCTCGTTGATGTTGGTTTTCATGTCATCTGCCATCTGTGTTGGCAAAACTGTCTGTGTACAGCCTTTTGCTTCCCAATTCAAACTCTGGGGATGTGTTATTGTGATCGCTACCATTCACAGATTTATTGACAATTTGTCAAATATTTCATTTTTAAGATTGGACTGCTGATACTTTATTTGATTACCATGTCAAATGTGTTTGATTAGCAGTATTTCTGTTTGAAGTCTCCTTTGAAACAAGTACGAAGATGTTTGTCTCAGCCTTGTCTGAAATGATCAAGTATCAAGTCACATCCAAAAAATGATGGAGGAATTTTTGCACACATACGGATATCTTATTATCATAGACTAATAAATGCATGTAAAAGAAGAGCCCCTTCTCACTCAACAATGTTAAAAATAATCATCTCATGCCCTGACCTTAAAATATGCCTGTGCCTCCTGTATCAGAGCTGGCTTCAGAGCGCTGTATGCCACAGTGGTGCCAGCAGGAGCAGCACATTCTGTGTGACCTGTCAGAGTTCCAGGGCACAGATAAGAGCACGGCCCACTGTTGTTGTGGACAGGACATTACGTGTGAAGGTCGGTTTGGGCTGTGTCCCTGCTCTGGTGGGAGGTGCACTTGATCTTTCAGTGGTTTCAGGGGTACATGTTTTGTTTTGATGCGGGGGCGTGAGGGGAGGTGCTCTGCGGGGTGGGCGCGGCGCACAGGGCCTGGTGTATAGTGGAGATTGGGGTCAGGCAGGTTGAAGGAACCAACCATGTCCCTTTTTCCGCCCGGGCAGTCACGCCGATGGAGCGTGCAAATCATCAACAGAGACCTTTAGCATCATGATTCACACCCCCACCTCACTCACCTGATCTACGGCCCTGCCCTCACTCACTGTCCTCTAAACTAATACATGACAAATAAATAATAAGCATGCCTACACATTACATGACCACATAGTCTTCCCACTGCTGTGACTTGTCACCTCTAAAATTGAAATGGCATCCTTTCTGAGGGCTTTTGTCACAGTTTGAGGGCGGTTATAAAGTAGAGTAATGCTGTGTATGTGTGTGATTATTTTGAGATTTGTCCCTTGCTCTTCCTGTGTCTTTATGTCCTCATGTCTCCTCTGGTCTGTCCTTTCCTCTCATCTCGTCACGCAGGAGATAACAGCTCATTATATCATCTAGTCAAGCTGAGAAAGCCCTTCTCTCAAACAGCGGGGACAACCTCTGTCTGTCCGTCTCCTCTTTGTCCTTTAATCATCCCACACCTGTCTGTGTCTTTGAGCTTAATGTGCACGGCCCTCCACTCTGCCATGGCTTCTTCACGCAGAGCAGAAAGTGACTGCACTTCAGCTTTAGGCAAATATCCTCTCATAGTAATGTGTGTCTGGGAATTTCACTTCTTTGGCTTTGAAAAACATGGTATGCTATTTCTTTGCAGGGAGTTTTTCTCAATTTTTATATTCCAGGTTTTTAGCACTCTTTTTGTAGATACAAGGTTCATGGCCAGCCGACTTTTATAGACCACTGAAACTGTTCTTTTCCTTCCAAGCGCCCATGTTTGATAATCTCCATTATTCATCAGATGGTGTGTGCTTCCCCATGAGGATAAAAGGATGCGGCCAGCTCACGGAACCATACATACAAGTGGAGTGCACAGTCATGTCAGGCTAACTGGAGGAACCCACAGAATCCTGAGCTGCCACCAGAGCGTCAGTGGTGGACAGGCTGTGACAAATATGCAAATGAAATCGCTTGGAGGCAAATCTGCTTCACCAGCGCCCATCATACACATCACATCTCACTGATACGGCCAAATGGATTGGAGCTCAGACTGCAGCAGGGTACATGGCTTTACACACAGACAATTACACAAATAGTTCAGCTCAGATGAACAGGCTTCTACACAGAGAGGCACATATCTGCACGCTGCTCCAGTTGTTTGGTCGGTACCTGGAATAATGGAATGATGTTGATTTTTGGGACAAATTCAGTGAAAGTTTTAGACATAAAAACCTTTTGAGATACATTGAGGCTGAGTTGTAATAGATATATTAATCAAATAAGAACTTGTGTTTATGCATAATAAAATAATAATAGCGTTACTACTTAATATGACCAATGCTCAAGACATTTTATTTGGACAATTAACTATTTTCACAGTCAATCAGTATAATGGGTATATTAAAAAGTGAGCATGTTTTGTTATTATTGAGTCATGCATCACTTTTGTGTCCCTCAGAGAAAAAAAATACTTTTAAATCTTGTTTGTTGTTCATGTTATTGGCAGTGACTGCCCATCCCATCAAAGATTTAAATCAGCCTGTTGTTGTCTCTGATAAGACGTGAGGTCTTTGAGTCCCATGGATGCCTATTGGGGACAAAAAATGTCTCTTTCTGTATCGCTGTTGTTGTTTCACCTCTTAATTAGCATTGATAATGAGTTGCCCGGGTGTCAGTGCTGTGACAGGAGCTGTCAGTGGCCAGTATTGATGGCTTGAATGTCCTCTCTCTTGTCTCCTGTTAACTCTGCGATCAGGACAGCATTCTGCCCATGGCTTGTTGCTTTTACCACTAGAGGCCTTGTTGTCTGATCGTCACCTTGTCTGTCTGTCTGCTGGACCAGGCACCTGGGACACGCCGCTGAAATCCGCTAAATGCCGTGCTGACAGTAAACAGCTGCAGTAAACACATAATGAGCGGCCTCTTTTGTCTCGTGTCTCGTATCTCATCAGAGCCTAAGCTGGCACGCCCTTGAGCCCTGACAATGACCTGGTATTGATCAGACGCCTCCATTATTTGTACGGAGATGTTCAGGAGCGCTGCAGTGACAGCAGACGGCCAGACGCACGCCTTTGACCTTTTCACTGCCTAACAATAATGACGCATAATGATCACTGCTGGAGATGCTGACGACACATTTTACTCAACTGTGCAATATTCAAAGTAGCTCCTGAAGTGTGATTTGTGCCAAGACGTGGAGGCGCTTCTCTCGGCTGCCCACTGTTACCTGGCTCTCACTCTCCGCACTTCCTGCTGTTGAGGCATCCATGTACCAGAAGGCACAGTTGCCCACAGTAGCGGACTATGCAGCAGTCAGGGTATCCTCTGTGTCTCCCTCCACATCCGGCTACCTTTAGGAGCTGACCGTCCATCACCAAACCTGCTGTAAGGGATGTTGAGTCGTGACAAGCCAAGCTGAGAGGCCATCTGTGCTCATCGGGATCTGGGAGATATTTTTGTCGCTGAGCGTGCTTGGCCAAAGAGCTCTTGACTGGCACTGGGCTCTGCTGATGAGAGGAAATGGGGGAGAACACCAAAAACTTTCCTGAGGTCACTATATATAATGAGTCTGTGATATGAGTTGACTAAGTCATTGGACATTTTGAAGAAAAGTATTCACAGTGACTGTAATAGGTGGTAGTTTACTGTAGGTTTCACACCAACAGATAATGCTAAAATTTTGTATGATAAAGTAATGTAAGATAATATAAATATCTTCATGAAAGGCCAATTGTGTACTTCTAGTGACTGAATCATGCCATTCATTCTGGGGTTATGTGAAATTCTTTTATTTATTTTAGTGCAGGAGTTGCAGGAGTATGCATTATAGTGCGCAGTGATTCTTATTTCTAATCTAAAGTATTTTTTAAATGGTATAGGGCTACTTACTTTATCCAGGGGCATTGTACCAGGTGGTAGTACCAGTGCTAATTTCCACCTGTAGTCCCTGGGCAGGTTAACTGATAGATTGTATTTAACTGACCTTAGCTATCATCTATCAACTGTTCTTCCTGGAGACTTATGTAGCATGTTTTCAGTTGATGAGGGAAACTGGTAGCCTGATTCATCAGCCGGTTTCACTTTGTGGAATCCGTCTGACCTTGCAGCATTATAATCTGTTCGCTCGGCGGTAGGCAGGTACTTTTTTTTTTTTTTTATTTCTGCAATTTGGTCATGACGTATGTAATGTGCCGCTAAACACCAAACATTGTCTTTGTTTTGGCTTTAAATCCATGATCTCAGGAATCGTTGCCAACACAGAATGTATGGCTTTTCACTGACTGGCTGCTACCCGGACTCGCACTTCCAGGGTTCTTGCAAACCATCTAGCGTAGTTCGATTCCTGACCTAGCCGCTGGAGAGAAATGGCTTTTCAAAAAAATCTAAATTGAGCAGAGACACTAGGTGGCACCAGCCTAGTTAGGATACCAGAGTGCTCAGAGGAAACCCATCCAGACATTCAAACTCCACACAGAAAGGCCTGGGTGACCCAGGGATTGAACCTGAAACCTTCTTGCTGTGAGGCATGAGTACAAGCCACTCAGCCACCATGCCTAAATAATTGTAACTTCAATTTACAATAAAATATATGTCACAGGGAATAAGAGTTTTCAAGTTCAAGCTTTTTTCACATTTACTTCATAATTGCAGAAAATACAAAGACTTCTTGTGAGTTTGTTTGTAATCTGCTCTCCATCCAATCACTGTTATCAACTTTGCATTCTAATGATGGGTTTGTGCAGAGCATGGGGCTCTGGCCTGATGCTGGACCAGACAAACAGATGGGGCATAAACACAGACTGTGGCGTCCTGTGGAGAGTGTTGCTTGCTCTCAGCTTTTAGTGAAAACAATGAAGTTCTGCCCAGACTCCTGAACATATGCAAAAGCACTCTTAAAGGCCAAGGTGACAGCACACAAAAGAGCAACTTCCCTTTGCAATTTGATACTTGTATACTCTTGTGTGTGTAAGTGTATTGTTGAAACTTGACAAACTATTAAGCCTCAAGTGTAGGCGCAGACAGCCCATTAAACCAAGGATAGATGGGTTATAAGTTAACAGCTTTTAAAACAAGGAGAGCTTTTCACCTTTATGGCTACAAGGATTTATGTAGCAAAGGTTTTTGGTCATTACAACGGAACGGATGAGAAATAAATACAAACTTTTCTTATAGATGTCATTTGTTTCAATCATAGCTTTGCCTGATGGATAGTCTTGGATGACTGGTTGTATCACAGCATCAGTACGATAATGACAAGGGAAAGAGACAGATTATATTTGTGTCCAGATGAACAATAGAGAAAGCAATGTGTCAAAGCAGAAAGACCATGCATCAACCATAAGCCTTGGGATCCTGTATACCTTATATATGCAGCTAATGGACTGAACATAGTGGTGTGATTGTATTGTGGAGCAATTAGGTCATTCATTGTTCTCTATATGTGTCACTGTTCATTACTGTTACATATTTTTGATAGAAGAGGACTACTGCTGTCCCGATGCAAACATTTTGAACTTGATTTTGATTTTATGAAAAAAGGCTTGAATGTTAAAAACACATTTTAGACAATGGAAAATAATTTAATAATAATAACACTAAAATAAATAAATAATAGTGATATAGTGATAATAGTTATTCTGGTATTATGGTATGTTATGTTTTGATAGTTCTGGTATAGATTGTAAAACCTGGAAAGGTCCAACTTTATACTATTTTATGTGATATTCTTTAGTTTTTAGTTTCTTTGATAATCTTGCTGACCACTGCAACTAAGAAACAAATTGTAGCTTTGAAGATGCTTTTACACAATCGTTAAACTTTTTTGCAGATCAACTTGACAAACAAATGGCATGCTTTGCTGCTCACCCACAAACAGGTACCACATTGAAGGAAACTATTTTGCTTTTACTGCAAGTGTAAGTGATTTTAAGTATTGTAGTGTAAGTATTGCCTGATCACCAACATATTTTAGAGTGTACATTTAGTAGTGAACAAGATGGAAAAGCTTAGATAGATTGACAGCTAGTTATTGATAGTTTTCTCGCTCCAGTGACAAGATGCAATTTAGCTGTGTTACCGTCGTTGTTCTTATTTATCTGTATTTGCTGTATCCAGAGTCTTGTGATTGGAAACATTGGTGCTATTGCCGTTGTCCTCTACTTCTTCATTATGTGGACCTGATTGTTATCATCACTCGCTTTGGCCTCTTAATGATCTGAGTCTTAGCAACCGCACTCTCTCGGACACCTTTATTAAAGTAGAGGGGTTATTGATATTGTCCCTATAATGTAGTGCGAGACAATTGGACAGAGCGATGTTGCGTGGCTTCACCTCTGCATTTAAATAAGCTTTCAGTGTAAGTAATTGCTTGTGTGTGATTCATTCAAGCTCCATGCATTTAGCTGACATGACCATTGATTTAGGTGTATGGGAAATGCTGTTAGCTGGTTCAGATTTATGCTGCTCATTTTTCAGTTCCACTTTGTTTGGTATACATCATGAGTTGTCTAAAGGACTACAAAAAGGTGTCATTTTGTATGTTGTAGTTCTTTATTGGTCTGGAGACTTAAAAGTGGACTTAACAAACTGTAAAGTAAGCAATGTTTTTTTTTTTTGATGGTGTCAGTAGGAATATGGCACAACCTTGGCAAATGTTTGTAGTTTACCATTCTAATTTATGATACATTCAAAGTATTAACTATCACTACATAATTTGTAAAAATGAAAGTGAAGAGTGCTTCTGTTTTGTTTGTTTTTTTCTGGAAATGATGGATCAGGAAAAAAATATAGACTTGAACCCCTGTAAAAGACTAGAATCTTTATGGTGGATAGTTTGTGTTTAGTTAATGCATGGGGCCATCATATACATCTTAAAATATTGTTTTATGTTTCAGAATGATGTTTTAGCTTTTTTTTAGGTGTAAAGTGATAGGCATTGAAATTAGAAATGAATTTGTTATAATGATCTTTATAACTTTAACTCATATTTTATTTATGGGTCTTAAGGTCATTTAAGTCATTCTTGTAATACGCTTTTTCCTAACATAATTTCCTTCAGACATGAGATTGGGTAGAAACGTCGCTCGAACCTTTATAGATTACTACAAACTCAACAACCTCACTAAGGACAACATCCCAACTCCCATTCAAAAGTGAGTACATGTACACTACTGTGTTGACTAAAAGAATCTTGCACAACTTCACTCACACTTTGTATTAATGTTTTTGTTTCCAGTCCTGAACCAATCTCCCCAAAGGGCAACGTTGTCGGCCGGGAGTCCACTGACAGAGAGAGAGAGAAGACTTTCAAAAACTAGACAGACACAGACTGAGCTTGTATCAAAATTCAAAGCACCGTGGCAGGAGGATCCTTCATACTTCATTGCCTCCTGAATCTCCACATCTCCTCGGCTATAAGGACTTATTTTCCCCGATTTGTAACAGTGCAACGGCTGGATTATAACCAGATGAAGTGTCCTCCTAGGTTGTTAAGTGACTATTAAATATGTGTTATTGAGCAAAAGAGGGGTCAGTGGTCATTCATTTTTATTATGTATTCTTGATTAGACAGTTTTCAGTTATACATTTTGAAGGAGATTTCATGTTTTTTTGTATTTAGTTTTGAGTGATAACATAACTGGATCATTTTCCATATTTTTCATTGTAAATATTGATCTAAAACAGATCCAAAATAGAGATGGGACATTTGGCTGTTGTTCAAAACTGCAGAGCTAATAGGTCCCTCTTCATTGTGGGATTTTATTGGAGCAAGAAATGGATTTTGATGTGTTTCTATTTTTGGAAAATGGCTATGTGACATTTATTAAAGTTACATTTCATTTTATTTACCTTTATTTAACCAGAAAGTCCCATTGTGATTGGTTTATAGGTAGCAGCCAAGACAATCAATAAGCAAAACAGGAAAATCACAAAATATCACATTATCCATTTGCATCTCTCAAGAAAAACACATACGTCTTGGTCACCGCAGTTTTTACAATTTTCTTGAATTTATCAAATGCCATTTTCAGGTTTCCAATTTCAGGTTTTTCTGTAAATTATTCCAAAACCAAGATTCCAAGGAAAAGGCAGATGTTTTCAGTACAGTGAAAAATAACTGGGAGGAGGAGCGAAGCCAGTAACTACCTGAGCTGATATTAAGGAGATGACAAAGGTAACCCGGACGTTTCCCCAGTATGACTTTGTGAATAAATATTCACCTTTTGTTTTGTTTCATTTTGTTTTTTGTTAGTTTTTTGTGCAATTGTTAGCGCTATCCAAAGAGTGCAGTGGTGAGTGAGAGACTTGGTGATAAACCTCAGTGATGCAGTGAGTTCAGTTTCTGCAGAGTGGAAGCACATGTACAGTATACCTCTGAGACTTAATCTTCCAAATAATCTCCACAAAGTATAGGGGGGATGTGGGTGGGGATAGGGGATATAATAGGTGAAAACTGAAAATTTCAGAGCACTCAAACCTCAAATGCGGGACAATACAAGATTACTCAAACATCATAATGCAGCTATGAAGAACATGATGAGGGAAGACCATACCATGGTTAAAAGCTCTTAAAAGCTAATTTTGCCAATGCGTCTTTGTTTTTAATTTCCTATTTTGGAGAGCGTTGTGATTGGCCAGTTATTGGTCACGTGTGCCGCATCCGGTGTCTCCACGCTGTTGTTGTTGCGCAGCTATGACAACGTCCTTCATTCAAAAGTTGGATGCCTTCAGAAAAGATGTCTCCGGCTAACGTACACAAGAGATCTCTCAAATGCACCGTGCTTTTGGAAATTCATTCAGTAGGTGCCTCTAATGTAGCCTGCTTGGTTATTGTTAAATGGATAAAAAACGCTAGCTAGCATCACAACAACGTAGCATCCTAGTTGGTAACTTCCCTCCTGTGGTGAACTAACGCCAGCGTATTCATTCTTGTTAAGAACTGTCACTCCTAATACCGACCATATGTTTGTTATTCTTCTTAACTAGCCACTTGAACTAATAATCTATAAACACGTGTTGCTGTAAGAAACTAATTCAACTTTACCCATTTTAAGAAATAAGTGGCATTTCACTTTGGGCGTGTCTTCTTTATTTCGCAGACTACAAACATTAGCTTTAACTTACCAGTAATCCTCTGAAGATCCATAACCAGCTCATACCAGTATAGTTACAAGTTTGTCATATCACAAAGGAATAATTATTTAAAAATATATATAATGGCCTACATATTTCAAACCATTTTGTTGATTACATGACTCGAGAAGTCCACTGTGAAATCTGCTCTATGCACCAGTTTCAGTCATGATTTTCTGCTGTAACATGGGAAACAAAGGAACAACCCAAATTTGACCTTCTGTTTGATTGAACAAATAATATGTATATTCTATTAATATTCTAAATAACTACATGTCACGAATGTTTGCTCTTTCGCACATTTTCAGTTATGGCTATACAGTATGTTAGTTAAAGATGGACTGTGTAACTTTTCTGGTGGAGGGCTTTTTCATATATTTCTAGTCTTAATAGAGATGTTAGCTTTGTCTGGAATGTTCCACAGTAGTGTATTAAACATATCTATCTCAGTGAAGGCGTGCAGGCCAAGTTACAAGTGACCCGGATCACAGTGAGAATGCCTGTTACTTTTTATTAACTTTCATTTGATTGTAACATACTTGTAGGTCACCTGCCCGGGGTCATTACTACAAAAGCAGAGTAACATCTACCTGAGTGTGTGCACCCTGGGCCAGTACCGAAAGACTGCATGTGTGCCCCCTGTGTTCCCACTGAGGTTTCACCAGAAAATGATCTTTGAGAAGGTGAGAATATTCTGTTCACATAAAGCTTCAACTGAAAGACTTATATGTCCAAATCTCATCTCTTTGGCCTAAGAGCTTTTGCTCTTTTTGAGTTATTTCTGTTTTCAACCTTGCAGAGTGTATCACCTGGTGTAAAATGCCTTTTACCCCTGGGAGAATGACAACATTAGATAGTGGGCCATTTGTCTTATCTTGTTATAGCTATTGATTTGTTTTGTCTGTTACCTCTTCTCTTTTCCAGATTTTCCCTGGTGTCGTTGACCCTGCTGATGTAGCTGACCTCCTAGAAGGTAAACGCTCCTCTGGGACTTGCTCCTCATTTCGTAGACCTGGATCTTTTGCAATGCAAGCTTATAGGCTATTAGCCGTGTTTCCGATCATTAGCTCATGCTTTATTTGTGCTCTCCCTCTTAGCTGACACCACATATTTTGAGCTGATTCAGATGGTCCCTCCAGGTACACGCTCTGATCATGCTGCCCATCTCATCTTTGCATTATACTTCTAAAACTGAGCTCAGTGATTGTTTGTATTTGTTTATCCTGTTTGTTCAGAGGGTGAGATCTTGGCGACCTTGGAAGAAAGCACCCGAGAGTTTTTATATCCAGGCCCAGAATTTAAATCCAGAGAAAACGCAGCCGAACAAGAAAAGCTGATGAAGAGGACACACTCCTTTCCTGTATGCTCTGGATTTGTACTTTCATTTTATGTCCCACAGTCCTCCTGAATGCAAACTCTGCAGTTTCAAAGTAATGTTGCAAACACAAGTACTTTCTGATATTAGTACCTCAAAGTTCTGGTTTTAGTTCAGCATCATCTTGTCACCAGTGTTGGGATGTAACTGAACACATGTGCAGAGAATGCATATTCTGAATACTAATGTTGAGTAACTGTATTCCAGTACAGTTATTTTTTCATTTGGTCATATTCAGAATGCAGTTACTTTTCTAAAAACAAAGAAATACTTGGCGGTACTTGATCACACAATTTAAGGTTAGGGTTTCAAATGATAAAAAATTTGTGAGAAAAACACAAAACACAGCTCTTGTAGTGAATACATGTGTGATTTTTCCTTCTCCAGTGAATGATAAGAAATGCATAACACACTGTGAAAAACATTTAAAATGTTTTTAAACCTATGTTGCATTTTTGCACTATAATTTAAATGTTTACTATATGTAAAAGTATTCAGACTACAGTACTCTGAATCAAAATACATTTAATTCACTATTCAGTAACTATATACATTTTCAAAGTATTCTTCCCATGTCTGATTGTCTCTCACAAAAGTCTTAGTATTTTGAAGTGCTTTATTTCTTAGCAGCTGTTCTTGTGCCTGTTTCCCTGATATACAGATATGCTATTGATATAAATTACACATCACATAGACATTATATTCTGTTGAGAAGATAGCCTTTCATTTGTAAAATTAGTGTCTTTCTCTCACACATACATTTACATACCTAACTTTTCTATCCTTGCACACTAAGTAATTGCCCCTTCATTATAAATATTTTTCTTTGCATTCTCCTCCTTCATTGTTTTGCCTCTATTGGCATTTGAGATGTTTCGTTATCCACCCCCTGTCCTCCCTAGACACAAACTGGCATATTTAAATATCTTTAAACACTGCTCCTCTCACCATTGCTTTTATGTGTTTGTGTTTGAGGCCCACATAGCAATTTAGATGTCTTATTCCAAATGCCATATTATTTAAACATCACTGGAGCCTTTTCTCTACTGCAATTTGTTTTTCTCAAGCCAGGCGTAGATTGGAGATTTGTGGTTGTAAATTGGGCATCCAGGCAGCGCTGTTGTCTGTACTTTTGTCTTTATCTCCAAGTTAAAGGTGTTGTGATGTGACTATTGTCTGTCAACCTTCAGGGAATCTCCCCCAAGGTGGAGTTTTCCAGCACATCAGTCATTCAGGACAGCGGCGCAGAAGACAGCTGGCCCTCGCCTGTAAGTGCGTACTTTTATTACATCTAATAGGCCTGTCCAAAGCAAATCCGTGCAGCGTATTTGCTAAGACTTCTGTTTGTACTTGGTTTATCTAAGTTGTCCATTGCTCATCTGGGCAGCACTCACATTTTGTCGTCTTAATAAATGATTTTTGATGTTTGTTTATGGCTTCCTGGAAAAGCTTAGTCAAAATCAAAACGTTTGGGATCCATCACAGCGGCTCTCATAAGTCAAGTGTGTTTTTCAGGCGCTCTGTCAGTTTCAATGTCTTTGAAGCTCAGAGCCACCCTCACAGCTGCAGTATAAACCGCCGCAGTGAATAAACCACAGCTACAACAGTGAAAACCTCTTAAGGCGTCTAATGAGTGGTATCAGTCCCCATCACTTCCTCCATACGTACCACCCTCTATTGTTGCCATGGCTACTGTGTGTCCATTCGGGCACAGATTCAAGGGTATCTGCTCTCCTTGTGAATGTAATTACGAGGAGGCAGATCTGTGACGCTGATAGCACAACCTTTATCACTTTCTTACTGGCTGCAAGTCTGGCACAAAACCAGTTTTACCTCGGCTCCTTAGTCTGACCTTGTGCTGCACAGCTGGACAAAATCACAGAGAGGTTTCATGGCATTGTTTGTAATAATCCCATTTATGTGTTATTTCCATGTTATGGTGAGGTATGTCACTTAAAAGGCATCAAAGAGGCATCCATCACACAGTGGTGGGAATGTTGTGCCAAACACCCTGCAATTTCCCAGGTGCTGCTTCCAAAGCTAAGCTATTTGTTTAAATAGGATGTCATTGACAACGAAGCAGATTGTCAGACTCGGCCTGGCCCCGGGGGGCGTCTGGATCAGAGCACTGCTGTTGCTGTCACAAAAGAAAATTTCTCCATTTTCTCTCCTAATGGATCCTCAGCATTGGAATTTCCTTGACTGCCTTCCCACTCATCTGACAAGCCGTCCCACTCTAATCGAGAGATGGACAAATGCCACAAAACCAGCGATATCTTTTGATTAATATATTATATTATTCATTATATTATAATTCAGCGTTCAGTTTGTCCATGGGCCATCATTGCCTCATCAGAGAAGCCTTTATCTCCATTACAACTGAAGAAGTGACAGTTCTCAGGACAAAGAAGTGACAGAGGTCAGAGATGACATTATTTTAGGGCAAAGAATATCTTCATAAATTCTATTAAATGAAGTATTACTCAAACGGCAACCCTAATGAAGATTTATTCATCATTTAGTTTCTCTTAAAAAATGTTTTAATGCCACAATTTCCCTAATTAGCTTTTAGATTATCTTTGTTTTACAGCCAGGTAATGCCTCTTTATCTTATTAGACTGGAGATGGCCATCAAATGCAATTAACATTTTATCTTAACTTATTTATCCCCAGTTGGCATTACCCACAGGAAGTGGGATATTGCTTTTGTAGAATGATGTTAGTGGCCATTAGAGTTATTGGAGTGATTCTGCCGAGGTTGTCTCCATGGCAGTGCACAGACAGGCAGAGCTGCTGTTGTCGTAACACTTAAGCTGAATGATTTAGCTAATGGTTTAATGCTTGTGTCCAGGGAGAACATGTCTGAATCAAGAGTGAGAGCAGCTGCCTTAATAGCTAAAATGGCTGACTCTTCTATAAATGAACAAGCGCGCGGTCTATGGAGAGATGTGAACTGCTGAGGCAAAGCTTGTGCGTTGCCTTTACATGCAGCCCTGTGACTTTGAAGTGTCTGAACAATATATTAACATTTTACTCTTTTCATTTTCTCGTTCCCAGAGCAAATGTTCTCCGCTGAGAGCGTCTCTGTCCCCAGGCATTATGGGAAAAATGTCTTCATCTTCCCAGCCACTTTGTCACTCCGACTGGCAAACTCCCACAAGCCATGACGGGAACTCTGGCTGTTTGAAAACAGAAAAGCAAATGCAACATACAAAGGCTAAGATGTTCTCTGACTCCACAAAGTCCACATCTGTCTGCTCTCCTCCCCTGTCCCCATCAAAACAACAGCAGAAGAAACTCGCTAGTGAAGAGGGGCGGGTGGGCTTTGGCTACCTTCAGCCCACAGTCTCCTCCAGGGCCCGGGCGCTGTCTCCCTACACGCACCGTAGGATGTGCCAGCTCTCAGATGAAACCAGTCAGAGACTCAGCCACCTCCAGCTCGGGCCTCATCTCTTTAAGAAGATCGCCAACAATCCACCACCTTTCTCAGTATGTACCTCTGTCTTAGGGTTGTCAGAAGTATGGAAAATCAGATACAGATTGATACTAAAACTAGGATTGACCAAATAATAGAACTGAACAAAAATAGAACAAAATTTGATCTTTCCTGAAGAGTTTTAAAGTTAGACACATCACAATATATTAAAATAACAACAAGCAAGATTATAAATGGTAATAATAAATAAAAAAATAACAAGGGACTGGTGTCAAATAAGACATAATTATATAAATGTATATGTAAAAGTAAAAATTAAATATTGAAAGACAGAAATTTAGTCCCGGTTATACAAATATATCTCATCTATATACAAGAGGTCATAAGGAGAAACAGTGCAAAGTTGAAATAATGATTGACATGACATTGGGTGAGTTGTACGGTTATAAAATCAGATTCTGATCGATATTAAAACTAGGAGTCTTAACTGTCATGTGACTAAGTAATGATACTGGACAAAAATAGGACAAAATTCGACTTTTCCTGAACAGTTGTATAATGATCAGGGCAACATAAATAAAGTACTATTGTTTTGTAATGAACATTTCAGTTTACAGTTTCAAATATATATGGTTATATGTTTGGGGGTTTTTTTGTTTTTTTTTACTGTCCTATCGAAATCAGTATCAAGAAGCCAAAAGATGATAACAGTGGTGAGTCTAAAATGGTCCATGATAACTAGATGAGGCATTTCTTCATATTTTATCTAAGACCGGTCAAATAAGGTTGCAGAGTTTCTGTACATTGGCCATTTTAGAGAAATTGCTTTCCTGAGCGAAATCAATATAATCAAGTAACTTAAAGGGCAGCTATTTTCTGATCTATGTTATAATGTTGTTTCTTTATCAAAAAAACATACTTGGACTTGTGTTTTGTTTCATTCACACATAATTAACACAAAAATATCCAGCCTATTTAGAATGAGTTTTAGATTTAGACTGAGTTCTTCTCTCAAACTGAAAACACTCTGTCCCACCTTATGATGCCATGTAGTAATACAGGAAGTGCTCTACTGTGTTTTTAAACTCCATTCATCTTCACTATATGAATGATTTCAGCCCTAGAATTACTGATCTCTACTGAACTAAAGGTAAAAGGAGCTGTTAACTTCAACACTTTATGAAGTCACAAGGTGCAGTAGACAGAGTATGTTTTTGATGAGGTAAAAACATTCTAACAAGGCTTAAAGCTCAGAAGAGTAAATTTTGTGTAATATAGGACTTTTGTAAGAATACTATAGATTGATATCAATGCCAAATCAAGTTGGTTCAGTTGAACCTTTTTCAAACGTTAATGCCATTGCCACCAAGAGTGATAATACTGTGCATGAGGTTTAAATATACTGACATGCTGTGAAGTAGCGTAGGCTTTTAACAAGAGAGAAAAATAAACAATCTAGAAACATGAAAGTAAGAAAACATTATTCTTATAACCTGGGCTGTTAATGGCTTTTGACATCTTGAAAATACTGAGTGTACACTGTATTATGGCTTATTATTCTCACCAAGGGGTTCTAGATCCGCCTTAATAGTGTGAGGCCTGTAGTTAGATTGCTACACTGTTATTTATTAACACTTTAATTATAGCTGTATCACTCCAACAGAGGATTTGCATATAAAAGGCAGTGGATTTTCTGATCTCAGAGCCTGGGGGAACATACGGACAAGCACAGCCTAGTTTTTCACTGGCCGCCCTCACCGCCTCCCCCTGGTTTTGTCTTTTATTTATATCAAATCCAATTCAGACCTATGAACATCAAACCCACTTGCCATGCATTATTAAAACTGATTAGGTTGTGCGTTGTTTGTTTATGGCACACCAAAAGAAGTTCACCAGTCTACAATGGGCATATTACTACAGAACAGCCTGTTTTCCCACTTTTCCTGAGGGACTATAATGTTGACAATTAACCCTGGTAATTGAGAGTCAAGCCGCAATTAACAAATAGATACGTAATGAAATAGCATGGCCTCATGGTGAATGCATTATCAATGAAAGATTGAAAGCCCCAACTCAGAATGTGTTCTGTTGGGAAGTACTAATAACAACAGGTTTAAGTAAAATTAGTATTATATAAATATAATTATATAAGCACATCATTTATTTTCACATTAATCTAATGTAGAACCATGTATCTTTTCTGGTGGAGGGCCTGACGCCTGCTTGTCTCAAAAGGCATGTTATTGCTTTGCCTAGAACACAGGTGTCAAACATGCGGCCCGGGGGCCAGATCCGGCCCTCCAAGACCTTTAATCTGGCCCTCGGCTAATTTTCTACTAAAATATTTTAATTCTATTTTTTATTAAAATATTGTTAATTTTCTGCAGTGCTGAGCATTGCAGCGTCTCTGTACGTGGCCCCTCCCACCAGAGCAGCACAAATGAAGACTTGTCTCTTTCCAAATGCTCTTAAAGGACGATTGTTTTGACTGTTGACCGTGACACGCTCATCAGAAAAATGTCAAAAATGAGAAAAGTGGAGCCGAGTGCAGGATTTAGCAAGAAAAATTTACTTATTCCTATTTATACAAGTTAATGTTAAACAAGTTCATATTAAAACATTGTGTTGAAATTGTATTTTTCTTAAAGTTTCAGGTTGTTCATAATATTATAATATTTTGTAAAAGAAAGAGTTCATCAATTAAAAAAGATTTCTGTAATAGATTTGTGTTTCTCTGCACAAATATTTGAACTTATTGTTATTTTTGGGGTTTATATGCCATGAGTTTTCTGATCCGCCCCCTTTGGGATCAAAGTTGGTTGGATGCGGCCCCCAGACCAAAATGAGTTTGACACCCCTGGCCTAGAATGTTCCTCTGTATGAGATTAAGCATATCTACTTTTCATTGAATTACACGTGTTCTTATTGTCTCAAAACAAGTAAACAGAAGAGGGCTCCTGCTTGTCGCCATGAAAACAGATTTAAGGCCATACTGTGGAACCTTCTAGGTTACTAACTACTAACTGTTGTGTGTGTTTGGCAGGTCCCTTTGTCCATGAACACCTCTCTGCTGGAGCCCTCTTCATCCTCTCCTCATGATGGACAACATCATGGCACCGTGCATCAGGGCTCCATCAGCTTTACAGAGGAGCACACAGGTAGGATTTGTGTGCTCCTTCAGCTTCATGCTTTTTAGAAACTGTAATATTCTTTGGCGTGTTTTCATAAATACAAAGTCAACTGTATTAAAATGCAATTAGGCCAATTTTTGCTTTTGCTTTGTTTGCCCTTGTAGATGTGTCTCTCCTGGGGAGTTACAGACCGCGTGCAGACAGAGTAAGTCATTTCACAGAGCTATTTTCGAGGTTTATCTGAATAAAAGTGTAATAGTGTAAGTACAGAGAGAGTAAAGTGCTGAAAACCTCCACAGCCCAGTGTCCTTGTCGCTTCAAAGCAAAGCATTTAGACATAATTAAAACCAGACTGTGACTGGTGGCACAGATGTTGGGATAATATAATCCAATATCACATTCAATAACAGCCACATTAATAAGTTAACTGGAGCCTGCTTTTGTAAAATTATGACCTTAATATTTTCAGTTCATAAACATCTGTAGTTAAGGACAGTTTTTAAAATAACATGAACTAAGAGCTGTTTTCTTCACTCTCTTTTCTTTGTTGCACTTTTCAGATGAAGTGGAGTCATGTGAGGACCCAGTCTTCTCCTGGGACCTCCTCCAGACACAAGGCTCACCCCAAAAGCCCAGCCGAGGCCCGTCTGAATGTGTCAGGGTCCCTAAGCACCCCAGCAGCTCCATGCAGTTCTCTAAAGGAGAGGTACAGGCTTTAAGCAACAGTGTGTAGTATTGTGTGTAAGATTCTACTCTTTCATAAAACCGTACACTTTAACTTCTATGAGCTTTTGGGAAATGAACAAAAGAGAAACCGATAAAGGCCTTTTGTATCAGGACCAGCGTTCTATAGGCGCTTTCCCATGCACATCTGATCCTTAATTTTGATCACAGCCGACAGCCAGGATGAATTCCCCTCCACCTTTTAAATTACACAGGCTGATGTCTTGTCATGTTTGTTCATTACTGAGAGCGGAGGCAGAGTGAAGGGAAAACAAAGAGTAAAATGGTATTGATTTGTGTTTGAGCTGGAGTCTGATGCATTTGACCCGATGCGCGCTTTAATACATTCAGAGAGACCTTGTCATCGATCATGGCAGCTGTGAGCTGAACACACCAATGGGAGCGATGTTCCGTTGTGTTTGTTTGTAGCTGCTCCCTTTCCTCTGCTCTGTCCATAAGTAAACATTAAAATCAATAGACAATCTTAAACCGCAAAGTAAATTGTAGGAAATGAATGATACTTTTCTCACAATTGAAAACGCGACAAGAGTTGCAGGGCAGGAGATTACGCGTGGCCTGTGTAGATTCCCTCGGACATGGAGAGGGGCACGTCTCCCCTCGCTCCTCTGATGTACAAAGAAAATGATAGATGCCAGTGGCTGCGTTTGGCCCCTAAGCCCCACAGTCCCAGTCTATTCATGTGCCTGGATGATTTGTCCTTGATGACTTTTAGAAGCAGGTAGTAGCTTTATCTGATTAGATGAAACCTCAGTTCACAGCGCTGGGCCCAGGCAGCACTCTGTTACACCCTCACAGTCCACAAATAAATGTGATCCAGACGCAATACTGAAACTTATTACACCTCACTTCTGTCTGTCCATCAGAGAAACTTATTTCCTAAAGGTCTGGGGCAAGCCAGCAAACATGCTCATCTAGTACTGTTGGACTGTGAAACTCCAGCTGTAATATTACTTTTGACACATTGCATAAAGTCCAACATAAAGAAAATGTTATTTATACAACCATGTAATCTAAAACGCTGTCGCCCAAAAGATGCATGCAGATTAAGTTGAAGCCTGCTTATGTTAGAGCACAGACTAGTGGACATAGTGAAGACCTGCAACTAACAAATAAGAATAAAAACAGTGTCTTTTTATTTTTGTCTGAATGATTTGTGTTAAATTGTTATAATCATTTTATTTTTTATCATTACATCTTGAAGTTACATCTTAGTTTTATATTTTTTCCTCAGATTTCAGGCCCTTGAGCCAAGTCCATCATACAGTGAGCAGATTCACAGACGGGTTCAGAGGATCCTTCAGACTCACAAAGCATCATCAGGTCACCTCTGACCTCTGACATGATGGAAACTGTACTCTATAATTATAGTGCCAAGCCTGTGTGGTATTCACTTAAAAAGTTACTATGCTGCTTTTAACATGAATGGTTTGTTCCAGTGCATTAAGAGCAGCACCTTCTCCCCCCGTCGGTGAAACCAAACAGAGACATCGTCAAATTTCTCCAAAGCCATGTGTGAAATTGGATGGAGAACAGAGCTTTGGCGTTGTGTGTGGGAAGAGGAGATGGTGGATGTAAGCTGCAGCTGTTAAGAGCTCATCTCTACAACACAAAAGACTAGGAGGAGGCCCAGAGCCACCGCTGAGAGCCAGCGGTTACAAAAGACTGAGGAGATTTACAGATGAGGAAGGAAGTAATCCCAAATGAAAGAGCAGAAGACACAGACATTTATCTTGAATTAAGGCTCATTATTTAATTTCACAATGTTTCACGGCAATGTCTTCATTATGTATTGGGCGATATTGTGACACCGTCTCAAACACTCATTTGGTATTTTGAATGATTTTGTAAAACAAATAAATTATTGTTTGATAAAAACTATATTTTAGTGGTCAAACTAATATTTTATATTGCTTATGTTGTTTTATAAAGTACTAATTGAATACACTTTTCTTCTGAAATAGAGTTCATGTCAGTCCTTTACATCCCATGAGCTTGTTCATTTATAGTGTATTACACATAATGTACAAAGCAATCTGATGTTTTCCAACAACCCACAGTTATTTAGGATCCACAAAACGCTTCTTTTCAAGTTACGCATCTCTAAGCCAAGTCCACAGATTTACTTTTTATGGAATTTGCTTTTCATTTTGTGCCTCCTGCCGGCTGCCCGTGCCGCCTTCTCCGCCATGATCACCTGGAACTTCTTTTTGTTTTTTCTGTTTTTAGAAGAAAAAAAAAGTTTAAGCAATAGCACTTAGTTTGGTTTTGTATAAATGTTAACTGTATTAAATTCTAAGGTAATCACGCAACAATGAAACATTTTATCTAAACATCTTAAAAAGTTGGCATCCATAAAAGGGAAGAAAATTAGATAAAAAGTACGTTCACCGCGTCAGAAATGTGGACTAATCTAGAACTACTGTAATCACAGAACTAAACCAGCACAGAAAAGGACCAAACCAATCTATGTCAGGACTGAACTGGGCTCAAACCAGGACAGTGAACTCACCCAAAACTCATGAATAGAAATGTTTGGGCTGACAAATAATGCTTCATTCACTGTATATTCTAAATTTAAAAGACCTGTGAAAATAGCCAACATAAAAAAAAAAAAATCTTGGACAGTATTATTCACTTACTGTCTGAATTCAGCATCTGCCAGCAGTTCCTCCACCATGGTCCTCTTTCTGTCCTTCTTGGAAATTCGGGAATGATAAAAGTCCACTGGGTTGTCCACAACAGTACCCATCTATAGCACAGATACCACAAAACCAGTAACACAATGAGACACTTTAATTACATGAATTCAGACATAGGGTTAAATTGCAAACCTGAAAGTATTTGGGGAAACCATCTCTATCGTTCTTTTTGTAGAATTGTTTTGGGTCCATTGAGCCCCTCATCCTCAGCAGCTGCAGGTCTCCCTTCAGCTCTTGTGTGATTTCCGGGGCCTTCATATTGAACCAGGCGTCTCCTGTGGTTTTCACCCTCTCAGCCTAAAACAATCAATAGTCAGATACATTTTTCAAACTACAAACTTTTTGGCAACAACAATGATTTGCCCACAAGCACGACTAAAGTTTGCAGTAATCTGTCTGTGGATTAAAGAAAGGAAAGATTCTGCTAAAGCTTACTCTGCGTTTGAGTTTAAGGGCTTGTTTGGATTCTTTGTAAGGAGGCACGGTGTCTTTCTTTTCAAAGTCAGGCCCAATCACGCTCTTCTTCATCACCTGTGGACCACAACAAACATGCATCAGTACCAACAGATAAAGGCCAAAGAGGTGGAGAGAAAACGTGGACAAAAGTGTAGCTGGCGTTATCGGATTAGCTCGCCCTTGCATAACTATAGCGTTTATTATTCAGGTTGCATGGTAGATCACCTTCAGCGGAAAAATCAATCACTTATTTACCTCATCTTGGATCTTCTTTTCCTTTGGTTTTTGTTGTGAGCTGGAGACAGGTTTTGATTTACTGCCATCAAAACTGATGTATAAACCCCCAAGCTCCTTCATCCTGATGCCTGGGTCAATACGGCTGGACAACGCTTTGCTGGAACAAACACAAATGAACATGGTAAGGAATCATGTTATCAGCAATATGTACATTTTAAAGATAGAGTTGTAAACATTTTAATAAAAATTCTCAATAAAACTCATATTCTGATCATCAACCAGGGACTTTGCCTAAAAGCTACTCAACTTCCCTTTTTCATGACATACCTTGACAGTCATATGGAGCACTGCTTTCTTATTACAAACGTTCCATTGTCCAAAGTCATGCACATTTATTTACAGAAGTAGAGTCAGTGTTTTCACAGGTTTATACTAAGACTATGGTGGCATAAGCAATCCATATTTGAATGATTTTATTTAATACAATAGTTTGAGGTATGTCACTTATTGCCTCTACTGAACAAAACAACACTGCTTACAGATTAAACATTGTTACTTCTACAGGTTTACAATACACTACACTAAGTATAATGTGTTTAACAATTTTTTTTTTTTTTGCTCAGCTAGTTTTTAGTTTTTTTATGTATATAATTTTATTTGCAAACTACATACATTACAAAAAATAGGAAACAACATACAAGATACAAGACAGACAGTATGAGCAAAGATTACACACAAATAGGAACATATAAGTGATGGGCTGGTAACAGTGTGGACATTGTGTGTGTATGTGCGTGTTGAAAATAAGTTAAGTATGTGCTGGAGCTTTGCCTCAGATCCCCACTCAGGTCGGAGCAGGCCAAGCCACGCCCACGCCCCCCATGGCGGGATGCGGGAGCCACCCCCTTCCCGATATATATGTACATGTGCATACATTCACACACACGCATCCATGCATGCACCTGTCTGCACAGGAACATACATGCATATAAGCACAGACACTCAGGTACACCTTAACACACAAACCCACACTCATCCACGGTTGACTCGTGATGCATTAAATAGTTGGGTGCGATGCATTAAAAGTATCAGGGAGGTAAGGAGCTTGGAGGTAGAACAGAGAGGGAAGCCAGAACAGAGGGGAGGCTCAGCTATTTTTTAGACTATGGGGCTAAAAATTCTCCCCTCTATTAACAAGAAGCACAGAGTAATAATACAGTAGAATTTTTAGGCCTAGGTTATACGGTAAATAATTAAATAATAATAAAAGAATTGCACTGTGGAATGATATTTAGGTGCTTGCTAGTGAGTTCCACCAGATACACTTTCATGAACTAGTTAAATTAAATATTTTTGCTTTAGAATGTGTTATAAACTGCCTCATACTCACACTTGTGGGCCCCTGCTGGAGAAGAGAACATCTGCTGCGTCATCGTAGTCATCATCTCCCTCTTCATCCACAAACTCATCCTCCTCTTCCTCATCCACCTCCTGTGCAGTCTGGTCCTCCTCCCCTAACCTCTCTTTGTAGTACTGCTCATCTGCTTCTTGCCCAGGCCTTGTGTCAATCATAAAAAGTCCATCAACTGCTTTAGTAACTTCAGTCTTCCTGGGATGGTATTTTTCATTATTTTCCAAACCCTCCTCTTCATCACCAGAACTCTCCCTAATTTCATCTGCAAAGTCATCGTCATCATCTTCATCCTCACTGCTGTCTAAAAGGGTGATGGCACTTGTACTTTGGACTACAGCGCCCTGAGGTGGCTGCTTTGAGAACTGCTCTTCTGGGGTTTGGTGCTGTTGACTGGACGTGCCTTGAATGGGCTCTGCTTGCTCTTCTTCTATTTGACGCACAGACTCTTCTCTGTTCACTGAACTTGACTCCACTGCATCCCCTTCTGGCATTTTCACATCTTTGTTGCCATCTTCTTGTTTGTCATTGCCTGAAATATCTCTATTTGTATCAGCCACTTCCATATCTTCATCCTCGACATCTGTAGTTTGAGAATCACATGCTGTAGTTATAGATGCTGACTGAACAGGCTTTGATGGCTCTTGTGTCTCATCTGTTTCCTGTATAATTTCCATCTTTGAAGCTTTATCAACTATACTTTCAGTAGGCAGCTCCTCCTGGTGGTCTTCTCTTGTTACTGCAGGCTTATCCTGGTCCCCTGTCATTTCTGCAGGTTTATCAGCTGCTGGGATTGGTTCAGTATGAGAATTAATGCTGCTTTCTTCTGCTGTAGATTTTTGTAGAGGAGTTTCATCTGCCTGATTTGCATCTTCTTCTTCTATCAATGTACACTCCGCATCTTTCTCTATTACTGTGCTTTCTAACCTGGAATCATTCATTGAATCCTCTTCATCCGGTGGGATAACAGTTTTTTCTAACACTACACTAAGTTTTTTAGGTGACTTTGCTAAAGCTGATTCTCGTTGATTGCTGCTGCCTGAACCAGTCCTGCTACTACTCGGAGTCTCTGCTCTACCAACATCTGTGAGGTCTGAGTCTGAATCTATCAATAAGGGTATGCTCTTCCTCCGTCCACGTGTTGCTCTGCTGTAGGTCGGTCCGGATTCAAAACCTTCCGAGTCACATGACATTGGCTCAGATGCAGATTCAGGTCTGGCTCGTGTTGCCCTTGTTCTTCGAATTGTTGGAGCAGGAGTTTGACCGCTTTCCAAATTCTTATCCAGATTAAGCTGAGTATCAGGTTTTCTTCTGGAGCGTGTAGACCTGCGTGTGGCCACATCCCCAGTAATGCTGTCAGCATCGGACATCTCAGACTCTTCCGTAGTCTGTCTATTCGCTGTTCTTGTACGTTTACTTCTCTGAGACACTACAGGGGTACATGGCTCTGGCTTTGTTTTATCACCTTTCACCTTACTGGGAGAATCCACAGCTTCTGGGATTGGCTTTTTCCTGGTGCTCCTCCGAACTTTTGCCGCAGACACAACAGAGGAGCAGGACTCAACTTCGGACGCATCTTCTTCTTTAGTCACGCCACGTAGTTGTCTTCTCACGCTTTTACGGGACACTGGTGCTTCGGTGTCGGACAAAGCGGAGCAACAGGAATCCATATCTGAAATCTCCCCCTCGTGCACAGAGCCCACTGGGGTACAGGGCTTGTCCGGGCTGTGCAGTCTTGATGCCCTGGTACATCTTTTCCTGGCAGAGTTTTGGGCAGTGGTGTTCTGTGCTAGTTTCTCGAGCTGAGCGCTTGCTTCTTCTACAGTTGTCTGAGTGGGGCTCTCAGGGAGGTTCGCAGTTCTTCTGGTTCTTCGGCCGGTGGATGGTGTGGCCTGGGGAAAAAAGTTATATTATTGCAAATGTCTGAATCAGATTTGGTCACACTCTGATATATTAAAAGTTATTTTCTTACACCGGCCATTTTAAAAGAAATATAAGTCGTTCTTTAGAATGACAAACCCATATATATTAAACGCAAATATTACAATAAATGCCGAAAACCAGATTATTATTAAACGTCATCTTTATCCTGAAGCCTATATTATGTTACGATTTTACTTTATATTGTAATAGAGAAGTATTACTTGTTATAAAAAATACGTTCAAAGTTTACAAACTGTATGGCGATTGCAGTACCACGTGAGACACTCACTGGCATCTCCATCTCATCCGCAGTTGGTGTGTAGGGTGTATTTGATTTATTTTTTAACTTGATGTTATCGCGCGACATTAAATAATATATAGAATGTATTTTTATCACACAAACCTGAGCAGCAGAGGTGGCATCAGAGTCAGATTTACTTGGGGAGCTCACGCGAACTCCTCTTCTTGTGACCACCATGTTGGACGATTCTCACACCCGCTCCACTTCCGCTTTAAGACCAGACTTTACTAATCGAAATGAAATGCACAACTCCCGAGCTTGTCGCTTTGCGTAGAGTGGCTCAAATGTCTGTGTTCTATTTGACTTGCTTTGTTATATTTATCATGATGTCTTATGTTAAATGCAAGACATTTCTTTGGTAAAATAGAGGATGCAAATGCCCTTCATCCGAACAGGTCAAATAGACGATGGCAGATCAAGAGTACGTTTTCTTTGGAATATTTGCAATTTATTATCGATTACACTCGTCCAACCCAAATATAATACAAACTGGAACCATGATGATTTAATCATAATATACAGATATGACAATACATTTACAGTACAGTAGAGGAGCTGCTTCATTTTATTCACTGGACCCTGTGCACAGGAGCAGCTTTAATTCACCATTCAGGTGACACCACCAGAAAAATTCCCCAGTGCAATTGTAACAATGCAAATCATGTGTTTCTGTACTACTGTTAATCTCATGAGCCTGGTGTAAACATTCAACATCAAAAAACATTTAGGGTGAAAATGCATGAATACATGTTAAGCATAGGATCTTAAACTGCATTACAGTATCACCACTCCATATGCTCATTTAGTGTGATTAGTGCTTTTTGCCAAGACTGGAATGCAAATGTTTCTAAATGAATCATACATAGAGAGAATCAAAGCGTTTGCACAAATAATTTACAGGTTTTGTCTCTTCTTTCTCAGATTTGGGAAATTGACAGGAATCAAAGAGGCACTTCATTACCAACTAAAATACAGTATATCAGAATACCCTTTATGTTTCACTAGAATGAGCCCATTGAAAATGTAATTCAAGTTAGTCTCATGTTTCTTTTCTATCTTAAGAAAGACAAAACAGAGATATAAAAATACATTAGAGATTCACCATTATGGGCAACATCTATTACTGAGTGCTTGTTGCTGTGGTTTGAAGTAATCATGAATAACATGGCTTTATCCGTACATCTTCATGGATGGGCTGTGCTAGGGGCTTGCCTTCTTCGCACTGACAAGGTAACCTTTGGACTTTATAATGCCTCTGCATTTGACAATAATGGAGTATCGTAGAACCCACTCCAGCCTCCAGTCGGCGACACTGAGCTCCTGTGTCCCCTCCCGTACAGCCTGTTGGAATGCTGCTGCTGACATGAGCTCTGGATAATGACAAGAACAAAAAGGTAGTAAAATGTTCACTTGCTGACAGCATATACCCATGTAGACCTATACTCTTATACACTTGTACACACCTTTGGAGTCATTGTGTGTGAGCAGCTGAATGTCAAACTCTTTTGCGAAGGCTGTGAGATCAGGGGGCATCACGCAGCAGGAAGCCAGGTTCACCTGGTTACTGCTGGGCTTTATCTACTCAAAGTCAAGAAGAAAATACATTTTGCTTTATTTCACAATGTCTTAAAGTTACTTTGCAAGACAACAGATTTAAAAGGTGGTATCTAGTAACATAATGCAAGAATGCACCTGGGACAAGACAAGCATTTCAACTTCAACTAGAAAAGCACACAGAGAGCGCAGACCTCCGCCAAGGACTACAGTCCCCCTCATATTAATTGTGTTTTCCATAAATATTAGTCTCATATCTTTCAATTTGGAATATGAAAGAGGATCCCATTGTCCATCCCTGAGTCAAATTTCATGGGGTTTGGTCAATAATTAATCGAGATATTGAGAAACAAAATTTTTTCCCCCATTTACCACAATGTTAACTAAAATTTCAAAGTGATCCAGAATCCAGGATTTCTTCTGGATCACCCCAAAATGAAATCAGTTCTTCCTTTTCACATTTCCAACAAATCCTGAAAATTTCATCAAAATCGGTCCATAACTTTTTGAGTTATGTTGCTAACAGACAAACAAACAAACAAACAGACAAATGCCGGTAAAAACATAACCTCCTTAGCGGAGGTAAATATGATCTTAAAAGCAAAGCAGTTTTGTCTTAACTTTTTTCTTACCTGAGCCCAGTTGTACAGCTGTTCCAGCAGATCTTTGTCCAAGTCAGAGGTGCCGATAGCTGCAATCTGATGGTTCTGCACCAAAGCCTCCAGCTCCTCCCAGACTGGCTGTAGGTGAGCCAGAGTCTGTGTGTCCCCCTCTGGGGGCCCAGGGGGCGCTATTATAACAGAATCAAGCTGGGACACTGCCAGTGTCTGGCAGGCTGCAGGGGACAGATAATTTGGCATGTTAAATGTAGAGGTCATCGTATCTAGAATAAAAATATTGATGAAAAGTTTAAAACTTACCCATCTTAACTGCTTCTTTGATTGAGGATTCATCAGACTCACATAGAAATAATTTAGCTGCAAGTATAGCATAAATATACTGACTGATTACAAATTAATGACACATTTATAACAACATTTAAAATGTAAAATGTTGTATTAGATAAGGAACACACACCCGAAACCTTCAGCTCCTCCCTCTCCTCTGGTGTTATAGCATCTGTTGCTTCAGGAATGGAGCAGTCCAGTGTATCTTGGAAGTCCTGCGTGAAAGAAAAGACCCGCAGTCAATCACTTGAGGCAAACTACTACATGGAAACATTATATGCATTTTCTAATCACTGCACAGTTTTGGTAAAATGTTCTAATAACACAACCTGTTGAACTCAGGGACACATTAGAGCAGTAGAGGTAAAACTAATCCCTGGACCAAAGGCTGACCCCAGCAGTGCTCACACAGGCCATTCTGGTGATAGGCTTTTGCAGTCAGCACAGCATGAACATTTAAACTGACAGCTCCTTTTCAGTTTGGCCAGCACCACCCTAATGTCCTCCAATCTGCTTTTTACTTTCCCAGCTTCTGAATGTAGACCTATACTTCTGAACTTTATAGGTTGATGTCAGCATGATGATGTTGCATTCAAATACAGTGTACACATTGAACAGGGTCCACAATATAAGAAGTGTCATGTACACGTGTTGTTTGTGCTTATATCCCACCTCTGCATTTAGCTTTGTCTGGGAAAACCAGTCACTCAGTGTTGCCTGAATGCAGTCTTGCAGCTGAAACAAACAAAATATCAGAACACAATACAAGAATTTTTGGTGAAATTTGTATTAGAATTGCATGAATATAAAATGTACACATAATGCAACTTTAAGCCAATATACAAACAAGTGTACAGTGTAAACATAATACTATTACATTAAAAACTAATTAATAACTAATAAATAAGGTTTTGTCACAAGTTCTTTAACAGGCTTATATTGTACTATTTTCTGATCCATGTTATGTTTCCTTAAAAACAACATACTCAGAGTTGTATTTTGTTTCATTCACATGTTTAACACTCAAACTTTGCATATTTAGGCTGTGTTTTTCTCTCAGACAGAAAACACTCAATTCCACCTTGTGTTGTCATGTGATAATAAAGGAAGAGCTCCACTGTGTTTTTAAACTCCATACACCTTCACTAGAATCATTTGGATGATTTGTGATCTAAAATTGTAGCTGTTAATCTGAAAACTACCACTTCATGACATCAGAAGGTGAAACAGAGCATTCTGATCTTTGGAGATGCAGACCGACTAATAATAAAGGGTTACTCAAACGTGTAAACGAAACAAAACAAATCCAGGGATGTTTTTGAGGAGCAAGATAGTATATTTTATCTAGAGTATAGGACCTTTATGTTGTTAAGTAACTGGAGTAAATCTTATCCATTAAAATATGAACGGACTCAAATAATTAAAATAAATCGCAGGTTAAATTACAAAACTACACTTCATTTATCATAATAAACTTATCCCGTAAGGAGTTTATGAGTTGAGCTAACTAGAGGCTAATGCTATCTCGTCTGACAAATATTGCACGCTTTAGGTTAGGACTTTTTCGCAGACACGTATTATTTTATCTTACCTCTTCACTGGGAGAGCCGGGACACTTCTTCTTCATCCGATTCCGGTTGACTATGTTCCCGGTGTGGAGTCTGAGCGTCTTGGCTTGGTTAAACATCTTGGCATTAGCGCTCATATTGCTGTTTTGTCCGTCCATGTGCTTCTTCTGTGGGCAGGTTTTAGGTCGGAGCGTGACTCAGCACTAAAGCGGCACCGCGCTCTGTATCCGAGTCTTTATACGCTCGGCCTGGTGAGTGAGGCGGGAATATTAGGATAATTGAAAAAGCAATATCAGGATGACTTGCATGAGCCGTGTGGACTGACCTGCTGGGCTGGTGTGTCTTTGGGCTGCTCACGAGGGAGAGCCCAGGACACGCCCACACAGCGGGGCAGCTGGAAAACACGAGCTGGGAGATTCCGCTACGGAGCGGCTCACTAGAAAACCCGAAGCGGGTTATGGAATGGACCGTAGAATGTAGATACCCAGTTCACCGCGAGAGGGGAGTGTGTCGTTTCATTTGTCGAGCTGATCGAGCTATGGCTACAAGATAAATTATCTTGCAGCAATGTCATAATGGTGTTCCATCATCATTACATCATTAACAATACTCAGAGTTACATTTCAATTGATTCATACATATTTGAGTAATCCTGTTTGTTTGTTTGTTTGTTTGGAGTTTTTTTTTTTTTTTTTTTTTTTTTACCTTATGAGGCTTGCTTACTTAGAATATAATAGTTTTCACCTGCCCCCTATCCCCCCACCCTCAACTCTGTATTTACTTGTGATCATGAAACTCAACAATGACCACCCACGCCTTGGTTCCAGAAGTAAATTTGTCAATCTTTTTTCCATGGACTTTCAAAATAAAGATAGGCCTAATACATTTATTTTAAAGTTACGAAAGCATTTTGCTGAATCTTGCCTTTTTAAATGTCCTTTTTTAATTTTATGATGACTTTTTATGTTTTGATTTGTTTGTATTGTGATTTTATTGTATTGCTTATTCTGTAAAGAACTTTGAATGTGCTATACAAATAGCCATGCATTGCCTTGCCTTGCCTTTTTAACCCTCTCAGGCTCAAATTAATTTTTAGTATCAGGAAAAATCTGATATTTGGGGAAAATTATAATATGGGGTAGTAATATACAATTCTGACTTTTTTATCCTTTGTAAACAAAAAAAGTATTTTGCACTTCTGCATTGCCCACATTTATCAGCATGGATGGGAAAAAAGGTTCCTGAGTAAAAAAAAAGCTCATATAATATGGATGTGGAGTAAGTAGGTACTTGGAATTTAGCTGTTGCAAATCTGCAACACCTGCCTGGAGAGGGTTAAAACAAAGGCGTTAAAGGTCACATACAATGCCTTTGAACTCTTAATATTTGATTTTTTTGAAAAGTCTTTGTGAAAAATTATTGGAAAATACTTGCTGCTTACATAACCAGAGCAGGTGGTCACTCTTGAGCTCCATTACAAAATCAGGTCACACATTTGATTTAAAAATGCCACATTGCCATTTTTCAACAATAAAAACACATAAATTATCACATATTTACATGCATTTGTGAAGAAGCAGAGTAGGCCCATGTACCCAAATGTTATGTGAGCACTTCCATATGACTTAAACACCTACTTAGCCCCTATAGAAAAAATGCCTGGAGCCTATTCCTTTTTACAATGAGTTTATGAACTGTAATAAAGTGTATGCATTATGGTGTATTAAATCTATTAGCCTGTCTTTGTGTGGCAACCAATAGACTATACAACTAAAATGTGTGAATAAATTCAGACATTTTGGCAGAACATCGTGAGCACAGTTTTGCTTATGTGCATTTGGAATATTTCCCATGCACTGTAACCCCTAACTCTGAACTGTCATGTTTCAAAATAGTGTGTGCTTCAGTCTGGATGTGTACTTGGTCAAGATACTTGGTCAAGATGTGAAAGAATGAGTAGAAGTAAGAATTCCTTGCTCCTCAAATCTTCTCTTCTGGGAAGTTCCACATTACCCTGACACACAGTTTTTCTCACCCTTTTGAGTGTCTCGCGGGGGATGACCTCCACTGTCATCTTTACCATCTAAGATTGTAAATCAAACTCTGCACAATATACCAGGGCTGACACAGGGCTTTTAGCGCCAAGTCTTTTCCCAAAATTAGGAACATTCACCCCTCAAACTGACAAAAACATCTAATATAAACAATGAACGGGTTAACTTCAGTTCATGTGTGATTTGTTATGCTTAGTCCTGTGGGGGTAGACTTTATGTAATCTGGCGGCTGGACTGTGGTTGTGTAAATGGTACAGTACAAAGTAATCACTGCACTGGTTATTTTATGAAGATGTGTAAACAGTTGTGCACTGGTAATTGAGCTTAATTTTGCATTTCACTGGCCTATGTTTGAATATACTTTGTTTTTTATGACAATTGACAGTTAAAGGTACACTATGTCACTTTTTGGTTGCGGGTCTGTCACCTACTTGTTTCTATGGATATGTTATTGCTCTGCCTGGAATGTTTAACAATATGACATTAAACATTAAACATTTATTGAACTACAGGTGACAACTACTTCAAAAATACCTATAAAAACAGGCATTCTGACTCTGAGCAGAGTAGCTTGATCTGACCTGTAACTTGATTTGGTCTTCATGGAGAAACTGTGAAACATCCCAGACAAAGCAATAACATCTCCATGGAGAAAAGCATTTGACGGATCCTCCACTGAAAAGTTGCACAACGCAGCTTTAAATTACACCATGAGTGTCAATAGATGCCATATCAACTTATACACAGTATTAAAAATTGCATATGCTGTTTGTAAATAATATCAATTAGAACTTGACTGAAAATTACTTTAAAAGATTGTGCAATAACTTCTCAATCATTATTTCAATTTCACACACTGCCAATTTCACACACTGCCTATAAGTGCAAGTACTTTCTATTGATTTATTAACATGATCCAGATGACACAAGCCATTATCCAATGAGAGAGGTGATTTGAAGAGAAATAGAAGTTGTAAGAACAGGATGAAGGTTTGTTGAGGGAGAATTTCAACTAAGATGAGACTGAACAAAAGTCACAGTGATCGAGTTTCACTAGGGGCCAACACTTGTAAAAACTGAAGTGCTGACAAGGAGACAGAGGAGGAGTGGTGAGGGGGTAGGCAGGGGTGGGCACATCTCGAATACACTATAAGAAAACAGACTTTCTGGGAGAGCAAGTCTTCTGGAGAGGATTTTTAGTGAAAGTTTGGATGTGAAGAGGTAAATTCTGCATGCTTTTGTTTTAAATTATTAGGATATTGTATGCATAAACTTTTGATGTACAGTTCTGTTCTGAGGATTTGTACCACTTTGTGACACAGAACATACTGTATTTGTTTTTCAGCATTGCCTTAAATTGCATGTGGGACAATTGAATCACTAAGGAAGGCAAGCCAAGAGTGCAGTCCAAAATATAACAAACAGTTTTATCAGGGGTCAAAGTGGTAACCTTTGAATTTCAAGGAGTGGAATTTTTCGGACAGCAGCCAAAACAGCGTGGGGGTGGGAGAAAGCTGTGACCAATTTAAGTGGCTGATCCTACCATTTTGTTACAGAGAAGCTGATTTCAACATGAAGATCCAAGTGGTCATTTTGCTCCTGCTCCTCACCTGCCTGAGTCTCAGCCTGGCCCAGGGTAAGAGTATGCAGCACTACATTAATTAAGATAATGCAGTAATTATGGGCTATTAAATACATTAATGTTTATGCTATTTAAATGGGTTGCATGAGTAGTGCAGTCTTTTTCATGTCTAATTTGGTCTTAATTAGTCAAAATACACAGATTAGTCATATCCACAACAGAATATTGATAACATTTCAAAAAATACTTTGTTGTATTACGTTGGACATAATGGGTAAATTATCCAAATCAATTAAGACTACTCTTACTTCATAATATTACTCAAGTAGTCCAAAAAAACTCAAGTAACAAAGTATTTAGGAGGAACTGTAAGAGGAACTTTCTGGACAATATCAAATTTATTATTTCAAATGAGCTGAACTGTAATTAAAAAACATGGGACAAAATAATGCATAAAATGTTGTATTTTCAAAAGAAGAACTCACAGTGAAATAAGTAATAAATAAACTTTTACTCAACTAAGAGAACTGAAAATATATAGGAGTAAAAGTATCACTTTATATATATATATATATATATATATATATATATATATATATATATATATATATATATATATATATATATATATATATATATATATATATATATATATATATATATATATATATATATATATATATATTACAAAGTCGGGTTAATGTAAATGTTTTTGGAATTCTGTATGCAGTTTTTTCAATTCATACAGGCTAGCAAACTAACTAAACTATAACAATAACATTATGATAGTTTTAAAATAATCTATGACAAACTGTGTATTGATTGGCAACAGGCACAATGTGGTAAATAGAACATGTAACAGTCCTATCCTGTAGAGTGGGTAGTGTAGTGAGTTGGTCTGTAGAAAAAAAGTTGAGACAAAATAAAATAAACATGTTGAAAACTGTACTTCTCTTAAAGTTAAACCAGATGAAATCTGTCATGTGCGATGAGTTCATTTTGTGGTCAGATCCAGAACATCGTAATTCTTATAAAGATCCCAAATGTCATGTGATTAAGCCTTTTAATCTCCTTAAAGCTCAGATTCACTCGCACACGCAGACAGAAGAGGGCATAACAAGAATCCAATTAGCAAATCCACCAAACAAACACAAGCATTGTACAACACGCGATTAGCGGCTAAGGCAATTCAGCACTCTCTTGTATTCAATTAAAGGTACTGTTATAGGCCTACTAACAGTTTAATAATATTATCCAATATAGATAACATCGACCAGCTGTAATCTGACAACAGTGATGGGAAGAATACTTTGAAAATGTATTTAGTTACAGAATACTCAATACCTGCGTTAAATTGTCTTTTATATTGTATTCCATTACATGGCACAATCAGACCTCTGAATACTTAGAATACCTTGACACTTGTGCAGTATATTTTAGAGAAACAATACTAATATAGTATAGTATAGTATAGTATAGTATAGAATAGTATAATATAATATAGTATAGTATTATATTGTATAATGTAGTATAGTATGGTATAGTAGAGTATATATATTTTATTGGCTTGTTTGTCATGCATCAACTTGACAAATTAGAGAAGGAAAAAATTGCATAGTCACACACTGCAAGAGTGACATTTTCTTTTTTTTTTTGAACCAATGACTAATATATATATATATATATATATATATATATATATATATATATATATATATAGTTACAAGCCAAAATGACATGGTAAAGTAGGCACCTATCTCCATCTATTCATATCAGTTTAGTAAAGTAACTGTGTTCTAAATACCTGACTGAAAAATAACTATACAGGTACTAAAAAATGTTATTCAGAATACATATTTTCTGTGTATGTATTCAGTTACTTCCCAACATTACCTGACAATAGCATTAAGTAGTAGTAAGTATGCTCTAATCTAATCTAAATACATTGAACAAAGTTGCTTCTTCTTGAGGTATTATATTGTAATGCTTAAGTCAACAGACACGTTTATCTACATAGTCTAAGTGATACAAGACTCTATTCTAAAATCACAGTATTCTTGGGTGGTCTGTTTTGCTTTTTAAGCCATAAACTCACTCATTAAAAGAAAACAAGAATTCACAATCCAATTAGCAAATCTGCAGAATGACCAGGCTTTGTGCAGGTTTGAGCTTGCCAGTAGACAAGATTGTAAAAATGCCTTTCTAAGAGTTAATATGTTGGACTTCATTCACACACTACAGCACCACTCTAAATAACTTTAGCTTTTGCTTTCTTAATTAATCCTCACAGATACAGAAGTTTCCATTTTGCTAAGTACCTGTCTAAACTGTTTGCATCTTTTAGGCTCTTACGGGAACTGCTGCTTGAGATATGTGCGTAAACTGAAGTCCAAAGTGCAGAGGAACATTCAGGATTACAGGATGCAGGAAACAGATGGTGATTGCAACATCAGAGCTGTATTGTGAGTTTAACACAGCCAATGTTCTTTTTCATTATTTTGGCAAACTTTTTTTCATTGTGTGATGTGATGATTATGTGCTGCAGGTTTTTGATGAAGAAAAGAGGCGGACAATCCAAACCTATCTGTGCCAACCCTGAAGATAAATGGGTTCAGAATGTGATGAAAGTTGTGGACAGGGCCAGAAATAGGCAGATCATAAACTAGGTAAAAGGTTGCAAAACAATATTGTAAAATGTTTATATGTTACCTTGGGGGTCATAAAGTTTGTCTCAATAGGTTGATGGAGGAGACCTGGAGGTGGGAGTGAGGAAGGCTCTGTCAGAGTTCATATATCACGCTTCTACACATGGACTAGATTATTGCCGTCCAGATTAGGAACTTCCTTTCCCTGACATAGAATGTAAATTGCTATGGTAACTTTTTATGTTATCTTCAATATCATCAATTATATATGAGCCATATCAGTGCTTCTGAAAAATGCAAAGATTGAGCCACAGTTTGGCAGCTTTTAAATGTGACATTATGGATGTGTGAGATTTGTATTTTCTTTCATTTCATTTTCTTTCTTTTTTTTTTTTTTTTTTTACATATTTTTATATTTTTGTATTCATGTGATTCCAACAAACCACAAATAAAGATGTATCATGTTGACAGAAATAATCAGTAAACACTCTTTATTGGTCGCCTTGGTTGTAGATCAAAGTTTAGAGAAGCGGTAATTCATCTTAGCAGTGGTTTATTTATTTAGTTCAAAAACCTCAGCTAAAAAATATAGATTAGCGTATCGCACTTAGGCTCGTTTCAGATTACTTTTGTGGAAAATATTTAAAACATTTTTCTAACAGAATACACATGGGTCTGATAATAATACTGTGGTCTTGTATAGGGATGTTATGGGAAAGCAACATTCCCAAACTGTGTCCCAGTAATTTTATCGTATTTATTTATTTATTTGACAAGGACGGTAAAACATTGGCACCATAAGAACATTTTGAGCCCCAATACATTTGAATGGGATCAAATGAACTGTGAGGTGAGTGTGTGAGTGTGAGTTGTCAGTTTGCGTGCACATAAATCTGCTTGGGACCTCACAGTTTAGAGTTGTGGGTCAGGTCCAGTTCTCATGAAGCATAAATGACATTTGATTGAAAACAGTTGTTTGGACAGTTACAGCAGTTGTTCAGTAATCTTTGAAGGAATCAAACATATCTATGAGGTGACCATAAAAAACGGACAGGAACAGAGGTGCAAACAGCTCTAGAAACCATAAACAAAGAGCACCAGTTATTCAGTTGCCTAAAATTACTCTCTTCTCTTTAGACAGAAAATATCTACTTTTCTTTTGCATATTTTTATTTTAAATTATCACTTTGACTCTGATGCCATCAGGTTTAAAATCTGTGGACAGTGTGAGGCTGTCATCCCACAGATATTACCTATAACTTCACCTTGTGATCTTCATGAAGATAGATACATTTAATGCCATACTGTGGAATATTATAGGCAAAGCAATAACATCAACATAGAGACAACTAGATGGCCCACCCTTCAACAGAAAATGTAAAGATTGTTCCTTTAAAAGGCACCTTAAATGTTTGTCAGTTCTCCGAGTAATTTTTGCAATTAAAGGTTTACGGTTCATTACATCTTCTTCCTCTGAGTCGTTACGCATTAAGCAGCAACAATAATGGACCATATGTACAGCATAAAGAGACTGCTCATGCACAGACAATGTAAATATAGGATTATGCTTGCTCAGGTTACTAACAACATCCAAGCAGACCTTTACTTGTATTTACCAATAAGCCCTTTTAGAAGTAAAGAATGAAAATCATATTTATCATAAGACAAAGAGGTTTGAATGAAGACTAAATGTTGCAACATTTTTTGTACATGTTTTATGATGCGAACTAATACAGTATGTCTCATCTCCACTTTTGTGCTCAATGTGCCAAGTGCAATTAAAAACACATTGAAACTTGCAGCTCCGTTAGTGCTGGCCCAAGCTGACGTCTCAGGGGCAAGGCCACAGCTAAAGAATGAATTGTTTATATAACATCTGGGAAAGGAGAGTGATCTCTGAAAATGTGCTCCTGCATGGACAAGGAAGAAAATTCAATTTTCATATCACATGGCTGTATCCTGAGATTTAGGACTAAAATGAGAACTACTTTGTGAATGTTTCTAATTAGTGATTCTTGTGGTAAGACATGCTTTCTTTTGGAGAAACTATACAAAAGAATACAAAAAAGAAAGAAAAGAAACTAGTGCTTAAATATACTAAAGCTTGACTGTATCATTTTATAATAACTTTAAGAGCCCTGAACAGTCAAAAAAATTAAATGTTACCATACTATACCTTGTATTATGCTGATCCAAAAGTAAAACTGAGTATAATTGAAACATCTGAGCATAATGTAAAATGATATATTAGAGTCTTTTAAGAATGTATTTTGTTACTTGTATGCACTTTTGCTCATCTAATTGCGTAAACTTTATTACATTACTGTGCAAGAAGCTTTATTGTGTAACATCATTGAACAGTACAGACGTCTTGGCCCTGATCCGAACATTGATAATCGGCTTGTGCCACACACTGAGAACATTCTTCATTTGGGTGTGTGCTGGTGAAAGTACCACCAGTTTTAAATCAGTACATTTGTAATTAGATTGGCCCTGTATTCTCACAAAACACCACTAGATGCTATCTATGTTACTTCTGTCTGATAGTGTACCAGATCTGGACAGACCAGAGAGCACAGGTGAGGGCTTCACATCTGCCATTTACTGGTAAAAAAAAATCAAAAATCAAAATCAAAACATTTACAGATGGTAGAAGACCTATTGTGCTTGAGCCTGCTATATAGTTATAATCTACAACACCCATAGGTCATTATGTTATCATTTTAATTTAATAATAATAATTTATCTAAAAAAAGAGTCCACTTCTGTGTTAGAAAACTGTAATGCTCAGTAGTAACTGACATTGCCATAAAAATTATGACAACAAAGGGCCGTGAAGCTGTGGCCCCTTTTATGGACAGCTTCACATCACAGCAGAGAGCAGATTATTATTATTTTTTTCCATTTATGCCAAAACAGTCACATGACACTGCAGAATCCTACGTGTATCACAGATTAAGAAAGTTAAATTGTAGAATGAAGTAAGTACAGAGCTGTGGATGTTTGTTGTTGGTGGTGAAAATGGCAGTTGATTTGCAATATAATAATAAATAATAATAAAGCTCAAACATGCACAGATCACTCCAAACACAACTTTGAGAGCATAATAGGTCTGCTTTAAATAAAGGTTAACACAAAAATGTTGACAGACGGTGTTTACAGGAACAGCTAAACATATCTGATGTAAGACTCATTAAGTTAGTTACTGTGTTCTCTCACTTTCACAAAGGCAAAAAATTACCATAATCCATCATTAGTTGATTTTCCTTGAAAACACTACAAAAGCTATATTATTTCATCTTTTGTAAATAAATGGAGCATGCAAAAGATATATCAAGATTAATGAACCATTTGTGTGAATCATTACACAATCCAGGAAAATCTTGCAAATGTTTTTATTTACAGCTTCAAATGCAGTAAAAATGAAATACAGGCCAAAAGTAAAACAAGCCAAGTCTGTGTGCAAAACAAATCTGTAAAATTATACATGCAAATAATTGGTAAATCCCACTTAAAGGCAGTTGACGCATTGTTTTAAAGCACCAAAAGCTTTAGAAAGTTCATAATCGGTTGAATATGGATAAACACATTTTGTTCTAGCAGCATGACTTAAGTGCACATCCCCATAAGGATTAGCCTTAAATTCATTGGGAGATTGATCCTTTAAGTACACGGGATGAAGATGCTTGTGCCATACACTGATGAATGAAGTGCGTCAGAGCCCATTGTGCTGAGGCTGTTTCTGCTGATGTCAAAGGTATTACAAAGAGGAGTCGCTTTAGGCTGAGTTTGGGACAGGCCGAAACCTGTTACATAACCCTCAATATTTAGAAGATTTTAGTGTTAAATTTGCACTATATAACATTTCTTCTGGAGGATATGCCTGCTTATTTTCATGCAGATGTTATTGCTTTGCTTTGAAGGTTATTAAGTCATGGCAACTGGACAAATGTTTATTTTGGTCGAAAGCTGCTTCAAGCTGCTTCTTCAGTTCTTCAGTTATTAAGTAACGTGTGATACTTATCTATCTCAATGGAAAAGGCCAAGTTGCAAGTCAAATCTCCCCTTGGGGATGAATAAAAAGTAAATCTGATTCTGAAGTGAAACCAAAATTTGCGCGAGAGTAAAAGTTAAGTCAAAAGTGAACCCAAATTTGTGGTACTTTCCTACATTGCTTCACACATTTCTGTATATACACTTATAAATATTCACCAACTTGAGTGGGACTTATTGGTTGCCATGGTTCAGAGAAGTTGCAGGAGGATATAGTGATCACTCAACATATTTACTGGTTGAGGAGGTGTGGGACTAGGCTCAAATGATATGGATTTAACTGTGTAGCATGCTAAAAAGAAGCATGTTTTATTTTTCACAGTGACAAATGGTAAAGTGCACTAGTTGATTTTTATAGAATAACACATACAGCTGATGGATTGTGCTTGTCTAAAGAAGTCATGGACCACTTCCTCTGCCTCCTGTACTCATTTGGGTGGAGTTTTGTGTACCCCACAGCCTCCACTGTCCTCCTCTTTTGTACCCGATGTAACAAGATCCTGTAAATACCAGTTAAGGGGCTCCTACTGTCCGAGCAGGGGTTATTCTGAAAGTGAACTGCCCCAATCCCCAAATCTGACAACAAGCGTTTGACTTCCTGCTCCTCTGCACACAGGGCAGAGTTAGCCTGACCAAAGTGAACAGGACAGAGGGGTAACATGGCAAATGGGGGTGGGCATTCAATTTCACATAGCCAAGAACCGTTAAGAACTTGCTCTATGGGGGTCCGGTCACTGGGCACTGGTTGAAGCATGCCTTTAATTATAGCCTGGCACTCAGCTGAGACATATTCTGGGATGCTGTACACCCCCTGGAGGATGCAGCGCTTCAGTCGATTCATATTGTCTCCGAAGAAGGGCACCGTGGCAGTTACCATGAAGTACAGGAGGATGCCCAAAGCCCAGATGTCTGAATATCTGCCAATGTAGCCCTTGTCTTTAAACAGTTCTGGAGCAGCATAGGGAGGAGAGCCACAGAAGCTGTTGAGAAGCTCGTGAGGGCCGCTCTCAACGCTGAATCCAAAGTCGCCCACTTTGACGCAGTGGCTGGTGGTATAGAAAACGTTCTCGGGCTTGATGTCTCTGTGCACGATGTTATTCTCATGCTGAAAAAATAAATAATATTTTTACAGGCCTATGTGACAGTTCATTTGTTACAACACACAAATAAATAATTTCAAGCAGACACTGAGTCACTGCTGGATCTTCACATTTTAGTAGTGTATGTTGCTTCTATGAAGATATGTAGAACTTGAGTAATTGTTTGTGTTTTAATTAAAATTGTAATCTTTTGTATGGTTGTAAAGTGCTATAAAATTTCACCTAAAAATGTCTCATTTTAAAAAGCATCAGAAAGTAGCTGGCTGTTTAACATGTCACATGTAGTGCCAGCTTGAAATGAAAATTTATCTCAGTGATTAAGATGAGTGAGTAAGGTACATTTAAAGGTACACTATGTAACTTTTTTGGTGAGGGGTTTGCCACCTGCTTGTCCCCATGGAAATGTTGCTTTGCATGAAATGTTCTTCAGTGTGGTATCAAACATAGCTATTCCATGGGGAAAAGGCGGTGACACAACCAAGCCAAGTTACAGGTCAGATTTGTGGAGATGCGACATCACACTAAGAATGCATGTTTTTCAAGGTACTTTGGAGTAGTAAAAACATTTGCAATTGAATAAATTGGAGATTCCAGTCAATGCCATAACATCTCCATAGAGACAAGCCAATTTCAGACTCTCCAAGTTACATCTTGTACCTTTGACTCACAATGTAATGGTTATGTAACTTGAGTAATTAAATATGTTACTGATGCTATAAAACTACGCTGCTCTCTGTTTTCAAATGTGTTCAAAAGCCTTCTACGATTGCAGTGATGAGTACCACACAGTTATAAAACTGAGAGAGCCTGTGCAGCCTGCAGGGATTAGGACCTCACTGCTGCTCACCATGTGCTTGACAGCGGACACCACTTGTGCAAAGATCATCTTGGATTCGAGGTCATTCAGTCGCCCCCTGCTGGTGACTTTGGAGAACAGGTCCCCGCCGCTGCCATACTCCATTACCAAATACAACTTCCTGCTGGTCTCTATCACTTCATAGAGACGCACTATGTTTGGGTGGCACAGTTTCTCCATACAGCTGATCTCAGAGGACATATAGGGCTGACTCTTCTTATCCAGACGCATCTTATCCATAATTTTGACTGCAACTCTCTCTGAACATTTGGGAGAAAAGAAGAAAAAAATGGTCAGTTCTTGGGAAAATTATATATGGCATAATATATGGAATAAAAAATTGTTTTGCACTTTGTCATTTAAATATCAACCATTTTGCACAGATACTGCTGATACCTTTAAATAAAAAACATAATATATAATGTATGAAATATCACTGCACATTATCAACCTAATATAAAGAAAAAAATGTGTATATATTATTGGTTATATTTTATTTTCATGCATCTTACACACATTGTTGCTACTTTTAAACAACAAATCAGTACATTTACATTACAAGCCCATGTTTAGCATCCTGACCTTTTGTGATGGCATGGATTCCCAGTCGAACATTAGAAAAGTTCCCCTGTCCGACCTCCCCTCGCAGCTCATAAAATCCAATGCGTCGCCCCAAAATGGTTTCGTTGGCAATCTTCTCATTATGAGCCAGGTCATACACCGCCCGCTCAAACGGCGACTGCCTCATTCTATCCACCTCTGTGAGCCGTGACACTGCCCCCACCACACCTGGCGGGGATGGTCCGGTACAACTATCCACCTTCACTGATTCCTCTTTGGGTTTCCTGGGGGTCTTCTGCTTGAGCCATAGTTGCCGTGGGATGGCTGGAAAAAGAGGTTAGTTCAGTAGTTAGCAGGCTACTGTACACTGTGTTATGTGCAGGGCTGAGGGGCAGAGGGGGGTTTAAACATAACGTAAAGGTCTGATGGATAAGTGGATTGACCTCATGTTAACTCCTTGCACTATATATGGCCTACTCACTCACTCTTTTAAGTCTGACGGTGGGTAAACTGGGTAATATCCTAAATACATAAACCCCTGACTGTCTATATATACACCAAGGATTATAAAAGGGTTAATGTTTAAAAACTTTACAACCTCATTACATGATGATACCATGTTGTGATTCTGTGAGCAGGAAAATAATAATAATACAGTATCAGCTTCAGCCTTTGGAAATGTTTTATCACAGTGTGTTTCGGGAAAACTATTATACATACATAATTAAAGGGGACAGTCCTGATAATTACTATATCATCTATCTACTATATCATTTATTATATAAAAGCTGGAACAATATTTTTGAGATCATTATTTATTGTGCACACATTTTCTTTGAACTACTAAGAAATGTTGGGTTATTTTTCATTATATGGTAAGATTTAAGAGGTTGAATTAATAAGTTTACCTCAGCCATATATGGTACTTCAGAATGTGTTATTGTGACAGGCCTATTTGAGTTATCCTGTAATGTCCTGAATTCGAGACTTGAATGATCTGAAAATTTCAGTTTTCACCTGCCCCCTATTCCCGCCCACTGCATTCAGACTCTGGGTCATACATGCAGGGTTACAAAATGTCACATAGACATTTTTCAACAATAAAAACATTTAAATAAAAATCTGCTGCTTGCGATGATGAAATGCCACTATAGAGAGGCAGGGCTTCTCAGTTTTGAACAGGAAGTGAATGAATCTGTCTCTATTACTAAGCAATTTTATTGCAATTTATGCAGTTTATGAATGAATGCAAAATAATTTTCCATGTATGTTTTAGGTAACAGAGAATACCTGAAAAACACAAGCACTAGTCCTGCCAATCCGGTTGGACAAAAACAGGAAATAGCAACCTTTCCTGTCATTCATCTCTTAAAATAAAGGTAAAAAATCATGAGAATAAGCATGTAATTTTCTGGAAACTGACAGGGGATCTTTTTATCAGGGGCAATATTTTGAACAACTACAGGTCAAATAACTCTATTTTCACATAGCAAATTGGAAATTTTTGATAAACAAAATGAAGGTTAAATGTTGCTCTTGGGACGATGAATGATTTGGCCAAAATAGTCTTGGCTTTAGCTCACTCCTCAAAGTGGTGTGGATTATCTTCTTTTAGAGACAGTATTAGTGGGTCACTAATGGATTTACACAGCATTTTTATAGCATCAGACAGTCTACACTTTCAAACTAGTTTTCAATAGATAAAGTATTCTGTAACTTCACTTTGCTATTTCTTTTTTTTTTAATGTGATGCTTTTTCTTAGGCTCCTTTAAGCTATCGGATTGTAAATTTTAGATATATTTTTACATCTGTATTTGATATTATAGGCCTATTTTTATTAATATAATAAAGTACTTCTCTTGGCGTGAGATTAAAAATATATAGAAGCATAAACAGAGACACTTACCTGGCAGATGTTGGTCCTTCATATCCGTCCGTCTGTGTGCAGGCCTGATGGTGACTGAGCATGTGAATCTAGTCTCAGAGCTCTCAATCCTATTAACACAAGCTGACGTCTCATTAGATAGATCAACAGTAAGATATGATGGAAATGCTGCACACACGCTTTTAAAAATAAGTCTTAGGACAGCATATGTTTTACAATTTAAACTATTCATTAACTAAATAGAAATCTCTCAATTTTGTGAATTCTTCCAACGCTAAAGGTGCATTGTGTAGCTTTTCTGGAGGGGGATCAGTCACCTGCTTGTCTCCATGGATGACAATTAACTTGGTCTGAGCCATCACTTGCATTTGTCCATGGAGATAGTGTTGTGAAGTAACTGAATATGGAGAATATGTGTTAAGATACTAATTATAAACTATATTCAAGTAGTCTACAGTTACTTTCCTACAGTCAAAGGAATACAAGCCTACAATTTAAGCTTCAAACTGGGCAAAATGGAATATGAAAAAAAAAAAAACCTCACACACAAAACTCTTGTTTTTTTCTGCAGTCAGTGATTGGAAATGCATAACAAACATTAAATTGTTTGTGCTATGTTGCGTTTTTACACTACAATTCAACTGCAACTAGATGTAAAAGTATTTTAAGTACTTTTAAAAATACAGTACGCTGATTGTCCCATGTATTAGAATACATGACAAAATACATCTACCCATCACTGGAGATAGATGCATCAATGCCATTGTGTGGAATATTCTAGGCTAAGCAATACAATTTCCATGAAGGCAAGAAGGCTATTGGACGCTTTCCCTGAAAAGCTACATATTGCACTTTTAATATTTTTACTATAGGTAGAATAGACTTTCTGAATGAAAATTTGACTGTCAATTACCATATAAAACCAAATATTATATCATGACAACCCAGAGTTGTGATTTAAAGGTCCTATATTACACAAAATGGATTCTTGTGAGCTTTGTCGTGTTACAATGTTGTTCACCTCATCAAAAACATACCTGGAGTTTTGTTTCATTCACACGTTTGAGTAATCCTGGTTTATTAGTCTGTCTACATCTCCAAACCCCAAAATGCTCTGTTTGACTTTGTGATGTCATGTAGTGGTAGTTTTCAAGAGAGCAGTTACCTTTTACTTTTAGTTCAGTAGAGATGCAATTCCAGGGAGAAAATAATCCAAATTATTCTAGTGTAGGTGTATGGAATTTAAAAAGACAGTGGAGCGCTTCCTCTATTACCACACTCATACTCAAGAGAAGAACTCGCCTAAATATATGCAGGGCTTGTGGGTTAAACTCACACACAACAAAACAAAATAAAACAAAACAAAACGGTATATTTTTGAGAAGAAAAAAAACAATCAGAAAATAGCGTAATATGAGCGCTATAACCCAACTCTTTGATGCACAACCATAGAACAGGCAAAATCAAGGTTATAATGCAACATACTGTCAATGGATTCAACTCAGTTAGATAAAACTTGAGGCGCACATTCCAGTCTCCAGTCTTAGAGCTTTTGAGGGTGAGATGAGTTCATATACGGACAATGATGCTGCTGCCTGTATAAAGATCCATGCCTGGGTCTAGTCTGCTGACCAGTAAGTCTCGCAATAAGTGGAAGGCTGAGTGCACGTGTCCAATCACCTTTCACAACAAACTTGGCGGGAGTGAAGGGGGCGGGGTTTTACAGAGGCCACCCAATCAACGTGTCCATTTCACAAAACCCGGAAGCACATGCTGGCGCGTAGTAGTGTTGGTGTTGCTAATTCTGACATGTACATAAATAAACACTTAATTTCGTTTATTATTAAAGTTGCAATTTACTGAAAAGACCTTCTGAATAATGGCAACTACGTTGGCATCGCCAGTGCCCTCCGCGGAACATGAAGCAGAGCGGTGCGGGACTGAGGAGGAGATCCGCGGGGCCGAGGCGGAGGGAGAGGGCAGCCCGCCACAGACAGGACCAGGGCCCGTGTCCGCCTGCAGCAATAACCGCCTGTCTAAACTCCCTCTGGCTCGTATCAAAGCTCTGATGAAGACAGATCCAGACGTTTCTCTGGCCAGCCAGGAGTCCGTGTTCATCATCGCAAAAGCCACGGTAATAATGACAATGCAATGCATGTGATGGCGTAGCAAAATATTAGATTGGTGTGGGGAAAATGCTCCTGTGGGCTTAAATATTAAAGCAAGCATTATCTGAGGAGGACTAGTGCCAGAAACATGTTTACAACAATAACATCCCACTTCCTCTACTCCACCAGTAGGAGTCTCCACCTAGCCCTGTGAACTCAACTAAACTTATTAAAACCAGAGTGTTTATAAGATGTAGTTATGAAATATATCTCAGGTCAGGTTTCAACATGAATACTACTGACAGCATATCTGTAATCATGTTTTGTTTTGTTTTTTTATCCAGGAGTTGTTTGTTGAGATGATTGCCAAAGATGCCATGGTGTACGCCCAACAAGGAAAGCGTAAAACTTTACAGAGAAAAGACTTGGGTAAGTTTTACTAACATGCACATATTTTGCTCTCTAATGTGTTTCAATTCACTGGCCCAGAAGTGTATTGCTGTCTTTTCCATATGTCTCTCTTTTCTTTTTAGACAATGCAATAGAGGCCATAGATGAGTTTGCATTTCTTGAAGGTAAATTCTGCTTTATTCTCACTAATCATTTAGTCTTACTATAGGATTCTTTGATTCATTCACTTCCTGTACAAATGATTTTGAAATATAATGGGATGTTTCAGCTAATATGACCACAATCAGTATTTATTGTTTTTTGCTGGCATAGTAACAGGTAACCTTGGTTTCTTGTAAATGTATTTCTTGCAATGTTTTGCAGGCACGTTAGACTAAACACCATGAAAAGACAAGGCCAGAAGTCACCAGATATTTTTTTCTTGAGACACAAACATGCAATGTCCTTTTCAAATATTGTCTCAGTCCGACTACACCAAGTTTCTTTTAAAGTAATGGCAAATTTGTAAATGTTTGTAAATATTTGTTTAATACTGAATTACTGTATACTTGAATAAAAAAAGAGGTTTTTATTTTCTTGCTGGTTTCATGGTTAAAACTATAACGATTATGCTAACACCGCTGTCCAAGGTCCTGATTCTGTACCTCCAGGGGGCAGGAGCTGTCCAGGGTATTCAGCAGAGGCACATATATAGAACCTTAATTAACACTGAACCATATGTGACAATTTAAAGTTAGTGTATGTTCACCACACTCCTCTGATAGATTCCCCAGTTACTCCTTTACACTTTCAAGTAGATGTGTCTGGATCAGCTGCTGTAACAATGTGTTACAGCAATTAATGACACAAGCTCATGTCTTCAAGGCAACATAAAGGCTGCACTGTAATATACAAATGTTCTACTGAGCTTGTTAAACATCCTGTAACACCTATGAAAAAAAAATCTTTCTGAGTACTACAAGATCTAAACCAGGTCTATAACAAGGCTATTCCAAGCCTAAATTAGATAAAACTGTCTAAATTAAGACTACAGTGTTTCTACAGTAGTTTTGACCAAGGACTTTCCCCAAAAGAGGAGAAAATGTGAAAAAAATTACTCTAAATTAAATATTAGAACTTTAATGGACCTTGCACACCACCAAAAAGGCATTCTGCTGTGCACCATCCTCAACTATGACCCTCCATAACAAAATTTTCAAATGGTTCTCTTCTAGATCAAACAAGGCAATATTTTTCATATATTAGCCTGCAAATAAAACAGGTATACAAAATATGATACATGAGAGATTAAACAGGTTGCTCTCAGACATGTGTACTGTTCTGCCTGGATTAGTATTTAGTTTCTCATGTCACGCACATTCAGGACCCTTGAGCTTTTACTGCGTGGATTCATAAATAAATGTTTGAGTGAGTTTGGTCTGATTTTCTGGGTGTAGTGTTTCAACGGCTAATGAAACGAAGCGGCGAGAAGCACAGATGTTTGGGTCCAGAACAGCGTCAGTCAACTCCCTGCAGAGGAATGCCCCATTGGCACGAGGAACAAGCAGTCCTCAAAACTAATAAAATCTAATAACGTGCCAGACAAGCGGGCATGTTTTATTTCCAGAGTCAATGAAGAAATGCCATTAGAAAATCCCATGCAGAGGAATCAGGAGTTCTCCCAGGACCCATTGGCTAGAGTTATAAGCAGTAAATCTGGGAGTGGTTGGCTTTGCTCTTATTTTCATTCCTAATTGACTGCTAAGACAATCTATTACTATTAAGTTTGGAAGAGTTACAAGCAACGTAACTTTCTGGTAGAGGGCACACCACCTGCTCATGTCTACAGAGATGGAATTGCTTGGTATGTAAACCTGATAACAAATTGTTAAGCTTGATATATTGTTACAGAGATATACTGCGATAAATGATAATACTGAAACTACTTTGTGCCACTGATACAATAGCAATAATGCAAGATAATTCTGGAAAACTACTTAAAAAAAACAAAACTGAATCATTATGTGGCATGAGCCACACCACATAAATAATTACTCAAAGAAATCACTTACTCAGCATTTTACAGCTTAAATCTTTTGATTACCACAAAAGTGTCCAAAATATCATCACTTTTGCAAAGAAATTGTATACACAATAAACATTGCGCTATATATTATATATATATATATATATATATATATATATATATATATATATATATATATATATATATATATATATATATATTATATATATATATATTTTTTTTTTTTTTTTTTTTCAGCTTTTATATAATGGACGATAAGCTGATATAGTAATTACTGTGACAGGCCTGTTAGTATGTACCACGGTATGGCATTAAACCTATCTATCTTGCATTTATTAAAATACAGTTGCTTCTATTTCCTTCACAAACAGGCACACTTAGTGATGTCACCTGCCCACAGATCTGACCTTTAACTGGTCATTGCCCAGGTGGCCACATGCATGTCTCTACAGAGATAGATAAGTTTAATGCAATACTGTGGAACATTCCAGGCAAAGCAATTACATCTCCATAAAGACAAGGAGGTAGTAGACCAGAAACTTTACATAGTGCACCTTTAAAATGCAGATAAGTTCTTTTTAGCTTCATACTGCAAAAGCATTATTTATGTTATACTTGTAAAAACATTCTATTGCGATAGTTGGTTTTATTAGATCTGACAAGAAACTGCTCTCATTGAAAAGACAGATATCCAGGGGCACATGTCTCTACCCCGGTCACTAAATTTCACTTAAGTTCCAGAAATCTGTAACTGGTGTTTCTGATCAAAGATTTGTTAATGAGAGTGTACACCTTGACACTAAGGATTTAATCACACAGAGATATTCAGAAAATGCATCTGACTGGAGCGGACGGTAGTCATGGGGAAGGTATGTTTTTGCAGCTGAGATTCCAACCTGATTCTTGGGTCAAATTCTTGAACAGTAACTCCACCCCCGACACACAGACACACATGTTGTGTTTCCATGTGTCTCCAGGGCATTACAGTGTTACGAGTTTATATTGTGATAAAATATATGGTCATTTGAAATGTCTTTTGCTTTATTGTACGTGTGTTATGCTTCTAATTATTAGGACAGTATAAGTTAAGCACTGCATTTTGGTTTGATTTCAAATATACATATATAAATAAATAAATATATATGTGGATATTACACTGTCTTTTAGAGTAACAATTATGTGTCTTATGTGGAGTCTCTGCTCTTCTTGCTGAAAAAAAAAATCTCTAAACATGTTTTTATAATGAATGAACATGAAGAAGAAACAATTAGTTCAATCTCATCAAGAACCTAAAAAAAAAAAAAAACTAAGCCTGAGAGAATACAAATGTGAAATGACTAAATTTGCAATGAGGGAATGCATAATTAAAATAGGAGAAGTCCATCAGATGCTTGTGAATCAGCAAGCTAAATTTGGCCAATTGTTTGTTCTGTGATTTTGGGAATGTATGTATAGGAATGTTGCCTCAGACTGGGTTTGATTTCCCATGCTGATGTTGCAGTAGATGATGCAGTAAATGAGAAGCAGGATTGTGAAATGCACAAAGCTTGGTATTTCAAGTGAAAACTGAAAAAAGCTGAAAATATGTGAGAAGTGAGATGTGTGAGAAGAATTGAAGAAGATAATGAGGGAGGGAGTTAAGTTGAGATCCAGTGAAATGGATCAACAAAGGGAGGGGAGGGTGCGACGGTGAGACGGAGCAGAGTGAGATGGGCAGGGAGGTATAAAGAGGCGGCCATAGAGGGAGAGGTGACACACAGCTCTGTCCTCGGTGCCAGACTAAACCATGCTCACCATGCTGCAGATGTGGACGCTCCTCACGCTGGCACTCTTCCTCCTCACATCTGTTCAAGGTACGACTCTTCTCCTCTTTATGTGCGCACTCTCTGCAGGTGAGCTGTGCAGCCCTGCAAAGACAGACAAGCTAGCAGAAGGGAGACAGGCATGGATGTAAACACAGAGATGGTGCCTCACTCTGCTTCTAACACCTGATATATACACATGATTAGCATATAAAACAGACAGCACAAAGCAGCTCTGTCTTTCTAGTGCATGTATTGTTCTGCCTGCTCGCACCACACTTTAAAGTGTTTATACAAACGCTGTGATAACATGCCATGGCACACCCACTCCTCACTCTTCCTCCTCTCACTTTCTCTGGCATGGCACTGAGCATTGGGAGACACTGGGATACTCGTGTAATTCTTCAGAAATTCTTTCATGTGTCTTTGTGTAATATGTGTGTATTTAAAAGGGAATGCATTTTTGGAGTGGAGCTCACATTCCAGTGAGTTCATATGCTTTGTGAAAATAGGATTAACTTTATATTCCATTAGATTTAATTTACAGTTAGTATTACTTCAGAGTTCACATTTGCACTAGCTTGGCCTTCATTATCCAGTGACTGCTTAAATAGGTTGGTCATGTCAGGTGCTTCCATAGGCAATATATATTCTTCAATCCCTTTCCAGTTTGAGAGCTTTTCATAAACATTGTGCATGGTGACAGTTCATGGTTGAATTCAGAAAGATTTACAAGCCACTGAACTCTTTATTCAAGACCCAAGCCTAAATAAATGTTGGTGCATCAAGTGTAAAACTTCCCAAATCATTGAAAGATCATTGGCTTTGGCAAGCCCAAGACTGAATAAAGTGTGTGACTATAAAGGCAACGTGAACACATTTGTTTTTCAGGTAAAGGAGTCCAGATGCAGAGGGATGTGCAGTGCTGCATGTTGTACTCCCAGGGTAAGGTGCGGACCAAAGATGTGCTGCGGTTCGAGGTGCAGACAGAGGGGCCAGACTGCAACATACAAGCCATCATGCAAGTATTCCAAGTATCCACTCCTGGAGCTTCAGAGCTGTACGGCCATATGCAGGCATGGAAACTATGCCTCTCTCGTTACATGAGGCGGAGGGCAGAGCCACGGCCGACAGGCATTGTCATCTTTCCAGGTCATGTTGTTACGGCAGGGCTCCAAACTGTAATTTGCCAGGGAAGTAAGAAAGCAAATATGTGGGAATAACAAGTCATCTGAAAGTACCTTATGAGCCAGCTGAGCCCCGCCATGCACTGCCCTGTCAGGCTGAACAGCAGGGTTTAGTTAAGCAAACCATTGTGCACTCACATACCTATTGTTTTCAGCAGCCCAGGGAAATCTGATGTAGCTGGGGAATGCAGGCGTTTTATTTGGCCAAGTTAACGACATCAAATAGTTGTGGATGTAGGGATTCTTTCTATTTGGACTCATTTTTCATTTGTTTGTTTGGGGTTTGAGTGTGTGAAATATGATTTTCTCTTTTGGTGTGTAATTCCCACCATCTATTTGTTTTGCTTGTAGTCTCTACACAAAGAAGGCAGTTAAATGTGCTGATCCCAGAGACCGTAAAGTGAAGAGGCTGCTCCGGAAACTGATGCTGAGACAGAGGACCAAGGCCCATCGAACCATGTGGCTGCTCCCTCGTGACAACCTGCCTGTTATGACAGAGGTACACTACAATGCACTTACATAAGAAAGGGTGTAATTAGATCCAAAATTGCCAAAAATGATTGATTTTGCAGTAGTTTTGCAAGATTATTTTACTTTCCATGTCTGGGTTTAGTAACTCATTCAGAATGAGAAGATCTTTAAGTTAAAGCACAGATACAGCAACTTTACATTATCGAACTCCAGCATCACCCGATAAGAGCTGTGATGCAGGAATAAAGGCTTCACAGATGGTTATGATTTGACAGTCTTTTGTATTATTTTATATTTGTTCATGGCCATTGCCTTGCTCAAATAGTGTCACTGTACTGTAGGAGAATAACTGGGCTGGTCTCAATGTGGAGTGAAGGAACAAAGAAAAGTGGACCTATATAGTCATAAGTAAGTTCACATCCCACACTATTAAACATATCACACACACGCATTCTGTTATATTCCTCTCACAATCCTTTCTTCCCAGGCCAAGTAAACTGTCAGCGGCTCGTCATCCTTACCCAGCGGGCTTTGGCTGACCCTCCAGTTGTATTGTGTCAATCTACTCTCTCCATCTTCCTGGGATCAGACCTGGGCAGCAATAGCATATTTAAAAACGATATACATATTTGTACATGGACTGCGCTTTCTATCCAAATCATGTGGCTGTACCTCCACATTAGAGTGATGTAAGTTTGACATATGGCGTATACTGTTATTTGCCAGTTGTTCTGGGAGTGACTGTTATAGCTGATGTATACTACTCTATGATTCATTGTGATTGACAATATATTTTATGTCAGTAATGTGTAAAGACACCGTACACAGTGTTTTGGAGATATTCTGTCTCTGTAATGATTTGCACCTATTTTTGTACAATCTTTCTTCTTTAGTTAAGGCTGATACATGACTGTTCAGTGGGTGATAATGGACAATAGTCTTCACCTGCTTCTCTGAGTTTCTTGGACTGTTTGTAAAACATACATCTGCAAAGCATTGTAATCATAAAGCCCTCATCTCAGGCTTCTACTGCAGATTTCAACATTACAATAGTCAGAGAATAAACTATGCCAAAGTTTAAATAATCTGATTCACAAAACGACCTGGCTTTTCAAACCAAGAGGGCTTAAATGTGTGTCTGACACACTGTTGTTGTACTGGGAAAGACTGCACTGTCTGTTACACCTGTATCTGAAGTGAACACTTTTATAAATGAATCTAAACAAATGCTTCCTCGACCCATTCTGTCCATTTAGCAGTGATGTTTCAAACAAATGGTCTGTATATGTAAAGTAATCATGTTTGGTGAAACATATTGTCAACAATATTCTCCACTAGGGGTAGCCACAAACACAAGAATGTAATTTAAATTCCTGAGACATTTATTTGTCCAATTTCAAATCTTCCATCTAAAAATTAAACACACTCAAATAAAACACATTAAATTCAATGGTTGATTACTCTCAGAGCAGTTACTAAGCTGTCTCTAACAGTCAACACCAAAAAGATTACAATAATTGCACATTTAGAGTCTCCATACATAATTTTTCACATTTTACAAAAAACAAAACAAAAACAGAACAAAAACAAACATTCACAGCAGCAGTGGGCTAAACAAAAATCTGTTGATTAATAAAAAAAGTCTTTACTAAAATAAATATACTGCCCATAGCACAATCATGCTCCCATTAAAAACAAAGCAAAAGCCCAAACTATAATGAAAAACAAAATAAGGAAGTATTTAACCAATATTTAACTGAATGAATAAACCAGCATTGAATGAAAGGCCTTTCATTAACAGTACATTCAAATAGTACAGTGCAGGCAAATATCAATAACAAACCATTACATTTTAAATACTGGACCCAATATTATATTTACACTGATATGTTCAACAATGTACTCACTGTAGTGCTCTACTGGGCTACAGTACGATAGAGGTAGTCAACACTGGCTGAACTCTGGTTGCAAACTACAAACATCAGCTGTTTTTAAATAGGCTTTGTAGATACATTCAAACAAGTACTGTTATGGCAGAAAATTACTTGAACCGTATCATTGCCTACTATAGAAAAATAACCAAAATGTTTCTGTTACTTTAGCAACACAAAAAGCTTCTAATCTAATATTTAAAAACACAAATATGATAAGGATATGATAAGGCAGCCACCTGCGTGTCCTTTGACATGCGTGTATCTGATCATACATATGTATAAGAAAACTAACTAGAGTGAGGACCAGTTTTGAAAAAAGTTGTGAAAAGCTTAAAAAAGTAATTATAGGCATATAAATACAGATACTATTGATTTACTTTGACAACTACACAGATAATACTAACCTGAATGTGTTTAATGGACAGCAATATTTATAATTCTTACTATGGCAGTGACGTAGCTGGTTTTAATCTTAAGTGTTTGGTGCAGTCCTTACATGGGGGTCTCACTGTTGTGGTGGTTTACTGTGTCGCTGTCCTGGCAGATGAGCTGGTAGGGCTTCTCATTCACTTCAATCACACAGTTGCGCCCATCAAGATCCTGATTCTGCAGCTCGTCTCGGGACAGGTGCTCCACGATACCAGCCCCCAGAGAGTCCCCCAGCACATTGGTGGTGGTACGCAGTCGGTCCCTGTCAGTGACAACAGAGAAGAATGAGCAGCCCAAATGACAGTGTAATAATCAGATTTAAAAGCTGGTCCTAACAGAAGCATTCTGCTGATGTGGCCATGCATTATGCATTAGTAACCTTTGTAGAGGTGGGACCTGCGCTCTCTCAAGCTTCACACTGACATTTAGCTTTAACCAATCCCCTTCTAGCTGACATTTAGTGGGAACTCACAGGAACCAATCCACAGCGATGATCAGTGTTATGTCCTCCGTGGGCAGTCCCACCGATGTCAATACGATCACCATGGTAACCAGGCCGGCCTGGGGGATGCCTGCTGCTCCGATGCTGGCAGCAGTCGCTGTGATACTGAGTGGGCGGAGGCAGCGATGAAGTGGAGGCATTTAATAAACAGTGTTCTACTATATATGTGTATTACACATTACAGTCAACAGATTATGTATTTATCGCATGCCTTTTATATTTACATTACCTGATGGTGAGGATCTGTCCAAAGTTTAGGTCCATGTCATTGACTTGGGCTATGAAAATGGCAGCCACCGCTTCATACAGAGCAGTCCCATCCATGTTTATGGTGGCGCCAACAGGAAGTACAAACCGTGTCACTCGCTTGTCCACATGGTTGTTCTCCTCCAGACACCGGAAAGTGATGGGCAAAGTGGCAGAACTGTACAGACACAAAAATACTTCATAATACTTAAATGACTTTGCACAACACGGTGTTTCTTGTATTGTAGGACTCACCTGGAGGAGGTCCCGAGCGCGGTTATGAGAGCTTGAAGCAGGCCCCCAATAAAGCCATAGGGGTTTCTCCGTGTCACCACAAAAAAGAGCACAGGCAGAACAAACAGCCCATGGATGAGCAGACCAATAATGACAGACACAGTGTACATGCCCAGCTGCCCGCCCACCTCAGCCAGATTCTTCATCTCCACAATTTTTCCAGCAATCAGAAACATGATACCCACTGGGGCGTACCTGCAGTGGGGTCAAATGAAAGTTAACAGAATGCATTTAAAATCTTATCTCATCTGTCTTTTAGCTGGCAGAAGGAGGTTCAAAGGTACTATGTAAAAAGGGTTTTCAGAAACAGTAAACTGGCTTGTGACCCCATGCAGCTGGAGCAGAAAGTAGAAAGAACTTACTTTCTAAGTATTGTTATGTATATATGTAATATGTGTTTTTCCATTTTTTTAATTTCCTATTTTCCCACATTATGCTTTATAAAATTATCGTGCACGCATACGCTTTAATAATTCACATTTTATACCATGTTTAAAGCAATACCATACAATGAAAATACATAATTAACACAATAAGCATAATACTAGTATGCTGTACATGCTTTACTGACCAGATGATAATAGCCACCAGCCTCATGATCGCTTCATTTAGACAATCGAAGAAGTCTCGCAGTGCTTGACCCTGCTGCTTCATGTTTCCTATGACCAGACCAAAACACATGGAGAAGACCACCAGTCCCAGAGCATTCACCCCCCCAGAGGAGCCAGACACAGGCACAGTTTCCTCCACAGTCTCCTGTTAATATATAAACCAAACCAAGAAAATGAGGTGTTGGTTCAAAAGTATTTAATGACTGTTAAGATGCTCACCTGGATGGTCTGAAGCACTTGGCTCAGGTTGATGCTGGCACTGGAGTCTGTGATGTTGAAGGAGTCAGTGAGGTTTAGGGCCACTGTAACATTGCGAGTGCGGACAGTCTTCTTGTACATGGTTTTATACTGAAAAGAGCATGACAGCTATAATAGTGAAGAATTATTATTAAAACTGGTTAGTGATGTAAAAGGAAGGCTTACCTGCTTAAAACAAGCTTCTACCAGGTTTGGAGGAAACATGTTCCTGTAAGAAGGTAAGAATATTTAATGTACAGAATTAATTCAGTGACATTTTAAAAGTGGTTCTGAAACAGATTTGACAGCACTACTTAAAGGTGGACTTTGTACATTTTCTTCTTGCCCCCAGATATAATATGAGATGAGATTGCTTAGCCATGTTACATAGTATGGCAATAAACCTATTTGTCTACAACTAGCATTCAATTACAGTTGATTTTATTGATCAAAATTCTTTGGAAAACATGCATTTTTAAGATTAATGTCATACTGTTGAAAATTACTATCTGCAGAGTCTCTACGGACACAGGCAGGTAGTGTATCTTTTCTTTCACATTTAAGTAATATTACAAATATATTTATATCCTAAAAAATATATTTTAGGTTGCTATTTGATAGTTACATTTCTCAATGAAACAATAGTGTTTTTTTCCTACATAAGAGTATCTGTACAGTACCTGATGAGATCGAGGAAAGCATCCATGGCCTGCACCGGTTCAATATTTCCAGTTTTGTCGATGGGCCTGTCTCTGTTGCCTTTACCCGGGCGGATGATGATCACCAAAACAATCCCAATGAAAACAGCAATCAGCGTGGTCACCATGTAATAAACCACTGCTCGAACTCCCATTTTACCAGATGCTTTGCTATCAAGGGAAGAGATACCTGCAATATCACAAAATTTAAATCTTTGATAACAGAAGAATATATAATAATACATGTGATTCATTTTGTGCTTAAAAAATAGCAGAATTCAGTAGAGACACGTGAGCCCAGAACCAAATATATTGTCAGTTAGCAAGTCTGATCAGTAAGATTATTCAATACTGAGGTGCCTGAAGTGGAAGATGATTTTGGGCATTTTTCCTTGTTAGACCGACCTGTGACCAAACTGGAGACAATGAGCGGCAGCACCAGCATCTGCAGCATCCTCATTAGCAGCTCTCCAGGAAAGGCAAAATATTTGATCTCCCTCAATGTCAAGTTGCGAGGGCGTAGTGCAAATCCTAGGACCACACCTTTAAAACACATATGTGAATATGTGTGACTTTTTACAAAAGAACAGGAACATGAATCAATGGAAAAACATTGACTGTCTTTTGGACACTGACCTAAAGCCACAGCAGCCACAGTGAAAAGCACAAAGAGGTTTCTTTTGAGGAACATTTTGAGTGCATCTCTGCTGAAGGAGCTGATGCGGTCCCGGACTTCACTTGCTCTGTGCTCCATAGCCAGTCGTATGCGCCTCCTCAGGGCTCCTCTCTCTGGCACTGGGGGCTTGTCCGCGTCCTCGTTCAAGAAGAGACTGGCGTTGTTCAGAGGCTTCTCATGCATAATCAGCTCCAACACCTGGTCCAGCAGGCAGGTCTCATGCGAAACTAAATGTATTTAAGCACATTACCAGTTTTAAAAAACTAGCTGGCAGAATATGACACAGAAAAGCACTAACACTCATCAAATCCATTCAAATCTCACTCAAAGTAAGATTTAAGTACTTCCAATTCCATTGAACACCCCATTATCATTATGCATTGGTGCCTTGCGCTCTGTCAACAACAGTGTTGCTTAGCTCTGAACAACAAATACCATTTAATTCTAAAAAATATTTTTCAGACCTCAACCCATTCTCAAAAGTGAAAATATAGTCCTAGTGTCTGCTGATACTGCCTCTTCACACAGACTGGATCACTTATACTGAGAGTGAACATCTTTATACTTTGGTCTAAGCCCCAGGGAATTCATTTGATTATTATCTTTTCCTTTGGGTCTATTGATTCTCTATTGTTATTTTGCACACATTTATCTACATAGTCTAGGCTAGTCTATAATGACCATTGTTAATCAGAAACGTCTATGATCCTGTCAGCCAGGATGATCAGGTTTTCAAAAGATTAAAGGACATTTTTGGAAATCAGTTTACCTCAACGAAAAACACGTTACACTAAAAATGTGCCCGTTCAACTGTGCAACTTCACTATTTGTGACAATAGCTATAAAAAATGTTGGATCATTAAGACTCAGACTCAGAGGCCATCAGAACATAAAATAAATCACATCCAAATTAAACACCTGTAGACAAGGGGTGGGATAAGACAAATGCTGGTTTTAAATTTCAAAACATATGACCACATACTTGATTTGTTCAAATGATGCTAAAGGCAAAAGAACTGGCAGAAACTGGCCTTCTCCAATCCTACAACAAATCTACCCATGCACCAAAAAATGAGGCATAGATAAATGACCTAGCATTCTTGTGGTATCATGGAGACAAGCAAATGAGTAAAATGAAAAACAGAATGTCTCTAGTTGTAGTAGTGTATGTGTAGTTGATATGTGCAGTGAAAGCCAATGCATTACAGGACAGCCCATTTCACACTTTAACTCAAAATCAATTTGGAGGTCCATGTTAAGAAGAACACTATTCAGTTTACACACACACTTTTAGTATTATCTGCCACAAAGAAGGCAATAAGTAATTAGAAGTAGTAGAAAAAAACGTCATCATTTCTGGATTATTATTGCTTTCGAATCTGTTCAATGCATGTTCCAATTAAAGGGCCCATATTATGCTACTATCTGATTTATGTTATAATGTTGTTTCTTTATCACAAACATACCTGGAGTTGTGTTTTATTTCATTCACACATATCTAAGAGTTCTTCTCTTAAACTGAAAACACATATATGATACTCCATTTGACCTTGTGATGTCATATGGTTACACGGGGAGGGCTCCACTAAGTTTTTAAATTCAATTTAAATACATTTTAAATACACCTTCACTAGAAAATTTTGATAATTTCAGTCCTGGAATTGCCAATCTCTACTGAACTAAAGGTAAAAGGTAGCTGTTAAAAACTACCACTTCATGACATCACAAGGTAGAACAAAGCATTCTGAGGGTTGAGATGTAGACAAAATCGCAGGATTACCCAAACATGTGTGAATGAAACAAAACAAAACTCCAGGTATGAGCTGAAAATTACTAAATTACTTACTGTATACTCTATCCATGGGTTTACACTGGTGAAAATGTGGACTGTTGCCACAGTAATTAACAATTCAAAACAAAATATAACATCTTGTGAATTGTGAAAAAAGTCCTCAAAATGTTGCCAATAATCAAGAACCTGAAATCCATGAATACTGTCAATGTCCCAGTGCTTTACTCACCGCTCATGGTTGAAAGTATAAAGTCCTGTTCTATGTGGTGTGCAGTCGGGATGGCGTGAGTAAGTGTCCAAGCCTCCAAAGCTCTGCTCTCATAAAGCAGGGACATGAAAAGGCTTCTCAAACTGTCTGACCTTCTCACACCTCCGCACGACACACACACAAACTACAAGCATGTGGTCAGGAGCATTGATGTACACAGCCGTGCAACCAGCAACATATTTGACCTATATAGACACTTTTGTTTATAGTATACTTGCTGAGGCCCCATTCATATGCCTACAAACACAGCAGTTAACAGTACAGTTGTAGTTACAGAGGCTATGGATGATGGATGTTGGATCTTGGATGTTAAATCCAAGAATGCAAACATCTCTAGCAAACAGTGAAGATGACCATGCTTATAGTAATAGTAGCTTATGTAGTATAAAAAGTACTTAACCCTAACCTTAGTGATAGAGTTAAAAAAGTGGTCAAAAAAGGTCCACGTTATCTGTTGGAAATATCATAAAAGTCCTTTATTGGTTACATTTGAGCTTGTTCTTTGATGAGCACCTGCTCTGGACATTTACCTAAGAAAAAAATCCCCTGAAGCTCTCATGCCTTCTGTGTTTTTCATGACAAATCTCCATCTGAACAATCTCATGAGAACAACATGCAAATTTCACACGGAAAGGCTACACATGGTCCAAAATACAATCTTTTATGAAAGGTACAATAGTGGTCATATCTTTTAAGAGATTAGCAAAGTAACCCATAAAGCCTCTGTGCCAGGCTCTCTAACCTGACAAAATAGTGGAAGAAACATGCCAAACCAACATGTGTCAAACTCACAGCATTGCATTTCCATGACAACTATACTGAGAAATATTTGCCATGGAGATAGAGAAAATGAAAAGCCAAAAGATGAATGACTTTCTAGATTCCATGATCCAGTTTATCAGTTAGTAATATAACAAAACACACACATACACAAAAGCCTATCTGGAAAAATGTAGCCAAGTAGAAAGTTGCAAATGTGATCTTTTCATCTTTAAACATGATTTAAAAGATTCCTGTGCTATTAAAATGGGGTTACATGGTGAAACTTATTAGCCTAACAGTATGCAAAAGGGGAAATTAGCTTTATTTAAAATGACTAACAAACAGTAGCTCAAACAGATAACAAAAATCACTAAAAAAAGATCTTACCCTGGTTGCAGGTGCTGCTAGTCAGTCATCAGCTTCCTCCAGGAGAAATGGTGATGCTGCAAGAGATGAAACTTTCACAAAACTAAACTACTTCAGAATCATGTACATCACTGGCTAATTTCAACACAGAGGCCCTAAACTGTATTAAATAAGCCCAAATAAGTAAAGCAAAGAAATAAAAATGTTGCAAACCTGTGCAAGACACCGCTCACGCTGCCTCCAACATTCAGACCAGAAATAAGCAGCTGACGTTGCCCACACAGCTCTACTCGTCACTATCTTCACTGATTTTTTTTTTTTTTTTTTTTACTACTGTAACGGTTGAGTGTTTTCCACGAAGCCCGAGGCGTAGAGGAGCCTGGAAGGTCTGCGTGGGCGGGGAAGAGGTTAAGAAGGTTTCAGAAAAGAAAACATATTCATAGCGCTAACCACCTGCTGCAGCTCCTGCACACTGTACGGGAGCGTGCATCCTATATCACAAGACGCAATAGGACACTTTGGATGTGTTCTGCCCGGTTAAGTTGGGTTATGGTTAAAACGTGGTTTATGCGTTATGCGTAAACGTCGCAGGGGCCAGGGGGACAAGGCATTGCTATGACAACATGCATCTGCTCACAGCTCGGGGTTTGAGCTTCATGGTGTAACCCTTTGACTTCACACTCACCCACCCACACACCATTTTTTTGTTTGTTTGATTGTTTTTGTGCTAAAGTTGCACTGATATGTACGCAGCTTTCTTCATTCAGGTGTTCAAAAATACACTGGAAACTAATTTGTCAAAATAATGGCTTAGAAGGCCTTATTAGAAAATAATGTGGTTTTAGGTCTTACTAAAAATAAACCTTATAAAGTAGTGATTTTAAAAAGCTGTTTCTAGACAGATGGTCTAAAACATAGCTGAGTGAGTCCACGAGAACATTGCCCACATTACTTTCAACATACGCTTTTGTCACTTATACTTGGTGATTTAGGCATACTAAGGGGATACATTTAGGCCAGTTAGGTTCAGTTTCTTCAGCTACTCGAGAGAAGTAAAAATGCCCTGTATTGTTTTATTGTTAAGTAAAATGTCTTCTTCAGTCACTAGCCACCACCTCATGCTTTAAGATAACACCACAACTGTCTATATCAGAGGTCAGGTAAAAGAACTTTTAAAAATATGGATATGTAGCCTATAGGCCTATGTAATATATAGTAGCCTTGGTCTAGTTCTGTCTAGTTACTGAAATAATCAAGTTTATTTCAATATAATCAATGGGGAAAGTTATTATCTCTTTTCCCGATCAGCACGATAATGTGAGAGCCATAATTCCCTCACTCTCTTCACATGCACATACAGCGTAAAGGACGGTAAAGGCACAGCTTCAGCAGCAGATTGCATTGCCATGGGAACACAATTATCTTGCAACAATGTGGGAGGCACAGATCATGTATGGTGCATGTTTATTCACCGCCTAAACACAAAAGCAGCTCACTCTTACATCATATTGCTGTTTATATATATATATATATATATATATATATATATATATATATATATATATATATATATATATATATATATATATATATATATATATAACTTCTGTGCATAATGCATAATTACTAAGTCAGTTCTTTTTGTCAATATTTATTCATTTATTTTTTTAAATATGAAACAAAATATATAATTTTGTTATTATACAAGCAGAGCGTCAATACCCTACTATTTATTTGTATTGCACTGTGGTTTAATATTATTCTAATGCTAAAGCAAGTGGACTGGAGCATGCTTCCTTCTCTGTGACCAAAACAGCATGCACATTGTAGTTGTATGTAAATTTGTAATCAATCATTTTTCAAAGGAAGACTGAAGATCATTGGCTTAAAACCAGCCGTGCCATGTGACTATCTTACAGTATGAGACAAAACATTATGCTGCATATTGAGAACAGCTCCAAAAACAATTTAATGTAAATGTTTTTAGATGTCCTGACCAAATCTTTAGTACATCCATAATAGAGCAGAGGTGTAACATGGATGCTGGTTGGTTGCATTGAAAAGATGAAAGTAGAGAGCTTTGTGACAAGAGGCTCTCTCAAACACAGAAAGGTCAGGCAATAGATTATTTGCTTTGAACTGTCACTACTTTATAAATGGGACATGAAGCAGTTTGACAAATGTAAACTAAAAATACAGGGCAGAAGTGACAGAAATAAAGTGGCCACAGTTGTTGTGAAATAATTTAAGATAAAGATAATAACAATGTACCACTTTGTGGAATTTAATCAGATTGAAAGTTTGACATAATCATTCATAATGACTTACTTTATTTTATTTTAGTATTATAAAAAACATTTTATTACAAAATCATCCATTCTCACAAAATTCATGATAATGGTACATTGCATAGATACTACCGCTACCATCAGAACCTCAATAATGAAACAGCAAGAGAAATGTTATCTGAAATGTTTAACACTTTATAAATCTGGTTTCTGTAAGACCCTGGGTTAGAAAATAATGCTCATGAAGAGAATGTGAAGAACAAATATAGTGTCAATACTGTAATTTCAGAGTAATGCTCTGAAATGCTTTGGCATTTGAGGCTCAGTCTTTATTATATATAAAGAACTTAAAAATACAAAGATATAGCAGGGACATAGATGTAGAGTCAGTTTTTATGATAGTGTTCCCATATACACTGATAAAACATCAGAATGTTCCCAAGAAGTTACCCTTGGAATAAAAGGCCTAGAATGAGGCAAAAGTGGCACTGTACCTAACACAGAGTGTGAATAAACTTAGATAAAGGTCCATTTTTACATTTACTTTGATGTTCAAGATACGATATTGATATCAGATATCGGCACCAGAATCAAGATCAGTCCTGCTCTTTCACTCTAAGCCCATTGCTCCTCTCACAGCCTGCTCCAGAGCCTTCCTGGTTACCAGTAGCCGGACAATGTCTTCATTTGGTTTAGTTAATTTTTTAAGTGCTTGGTAATGTTTTATCATGGTCATGTCCCAGCCGTTGACCTAAAAATGAAGAAAAATGTAATTACTATTTACCAATTTACCAGTTGCCAAAAAAAACACCACAGTATTTACATTAAAATTATAGGACTTGTTTGAAATACTTGTGTATAACTAGTGCCCTCTTGTGGCTATAAATATGATAGAAGTAAAAATTGTATTCACCTGCATAATTTTGTCCCCCACTCTTAAACCAGCAACATCTGCAGGTCCTCCTGGAGCTATCCTGGTCACGTAGATGCCCTTTAAAATAATAGAAACAACACCACTTTCAGCACTGTGTACAAATTAAAAATGGGTTCTGCATAGTAATGCTTTATCCACAATGTTTCGCTGTGCAGTTTTATTTTACATGTATGAGTCTTTTCTGTGCCTGTTCCATACATTTTGTACATGCGATTACATTTTTGGACATAATGGCCATGTTTACACTTACAGTTACAGTTGCAGTTACATTTCTGCATTGTTGTAATGTTTGTTAATATTCTATAGTAAAGTAAACTTTAAGTGACATACACCCCTTACAATTGTATTGTGACCTATATAATCCCATGTATCAATTGACAGAATAATCTTGCCATTACTGCCTTGTGTGTGAAAGTGTGGTCTTCTTTTCTATGACATAACCAGAGTCAGAATGCTTGTTTTACCTGAGGCTACAGCTCATAGTTCAGACCTGTCTCACTCTTCACTGTTGTCAATGAGTTTCAGACCCAGATGTGAAGATAATATAAGTTTTTTCTTGTTTTAAAAATATAGACTATTATGGATGCAAACAAACACAGACAAACACAGTGTGTTTCCAGCATGGTTGAGTCCATTGATGCTGAATTTACAATATGTGTGTTACCTTGTCTGACTTGTCCTCAGAGTAAGGGTTCTGGCTTGGGTCCTGATCAATGCCTCCACCTATGCTGAAGCCCAAGATGAGCCGATCTCCCTGACGCAACTTCTGGATCTCAATTTTTTGCTGTTTAATCACACAATCACAATCAGCAAAAGTATTAGTGAGCTTATATAAGTAAATTAAACTGTAGCAAGATTTTGGGCTGTGTGTAGTTTTTTGTACTAGTGGATTTGAACTGCAGAGGATCTAATAAGAAACTTACCAGATAAATAATATCTAAATAAGTGTTCCATTTGGCTTGCATTTGTTGCAGCTCAAATTATTTATTTTTTTTATTTAACAAATAAAATTAAAAAAAGAAAATGGTTTATTGTCATCACCATGCTTCTATGGCAACATATTTCCTATCAGTATTTGTTATTGTCACAGGCCAACAAGAGACGCTCTTAAAAGCTGAGCCCACTTCATTACAGCAGTAAGTTAATGCAGGCTCTCTACACTGACTCACTGGAGCACAAAGGCCGCTTTTGTGCTACCATAGACAGACAACGACAGACACGTTTAAGTTTGTAGTGTTGACTTCAATTAGTGAGCAGTTGGAATGAGAACAGGTTAGAAATAGGCCTATATGTGGACTGGTGCATATGGCTTCATATGATTTGCATTTTACATACAAATCTTGAACACATGACCATTAATTAAATAATCATTGCATTTATATAGCGCCCAAAGCGCTTTACAGTTCACTCGTTCACTCCACACTAGTGATGGTAAGCTACTATCGTAGCCACAACTGCCTTGGAGCAGACTGACAAAGGTGGACCATGAACTCCATAACTTGACACAACAACCAAATTTAAAAAGATAGCGTTAATTTTCAGGGAATTGTAATTTTCGTCCAAAAGGATTTTAACTTATAAATGGAGATGGTAACGCCCATGTGGTAGTTCGGAATTCTCTCCATTCATGTGATTGCCATGGTTCGCTGTTTTGTACACCCTTTGTAGGCTATGTGTTATTAAAAAAAACTACAACAAAAAAACATTAGCATCTTTATGCTAGCTTACACCTTAGTCATTGTGGTTCGCAAAAAAGTAAATCGTAAATCGTTTAAATCAGCCTAAAGGTAACTTTGCTACGTACGCCCTGAAGTTAGCATTTTTACTTGACAAGTCAACGCGATCCTACTGTTGAGACAATGGACCCAGCCCCATTCCCAAACTTACCACAACAGCGGTCACGGGTTGTCCTGGGATATAAGAAGTCATTATGGAAGTTTAAAACGAAAATAAAATTCTATAAACCACCAGTGTTTAGAGTGCCGTCTAATGAAAGTTAAAGGTTTTTGGTGGTGCACTTCCTAGTTAGGCAGGTCAGCCTGGGCTCGCCCGCTCCTGAGAACTTGCTTCCACGTGACGTCATCTAACAACAGCGCGGAGACAGCTCAGGGGTGGGGTTAGCACTCAGTAGGCGGGGTTTGCAGTCAGGGGGCGGGGTTAGAATTTAGACACACTAGATATCATTGCTACATGAAAGTAGATGTTAATAACAATTCTAGATAGTAATTAGATAATTTTATAATTACATTTAATACTTGATAAGGTTAAACTGACAACAAAAAAAAAATGCAGAACTGAGAAGAGCCTCCTCCTCAAAGTGGCAGAGAATTTAAATAAATGTACATGCTTTCATTGTTAAAAAGTGGCTGTGGGACATTTTTTTAACAAATGTATAACTCAGTCAGAATCTTTTGAATAATCGCATTAATTAGGGATGCACTCACTGGATAGGCCTACTCAGATATCAGTGGCGACAAATTTGACAATGTTACAAATTTGCTGGATATCCTGGTTGGACATATAAATTGATATAATTGTCGTAGCTGACCCAGAAAGTCTCATAATGTTTGAAGTTTTATTTATACAAAGTTGTTTTGTGGTTAATTGTTAATAAATAACAGCTACATGGCATGTCTGAATCACTTCTGTATTGCTTCATTTTAGTTTTAGAGAATTAATTGCTGTTCTCAGTACTGGTATAATTTAATATCAGGTATTGGAAGATACTTAAAGCTATAGCATCGGAATTGGTATCAGAACTGAAAAAGATGGATTGGTGCATCCGTAATCACAAGTAAGGACAGACAACTTAGACAAGCTTTTCCATAAGGGAAATTATTTGGACATAGTAGCTCACACATCACAATATATTATAAGAACAAAGAGAAAAATAATATATAAATGGTAATAATAAATTCTAAATAAGTAGTAAAAATATCAGAAGATTGGTGTCAAATAAGGCATATTTGAAGTGGGTGAAGATGGGGACAGGTAAAAAGATAATAGTCATGAAATAATCAAAATGCAACTTTGAGTAAGTCAGTGCTCCAAGAATACATTTATAACATTGTTAACAAATCACAAATGTGAATTTTGCATATACAAATGATTAAAAATATTATGTTAATAGACAGTTTATTTGTACCCTGGGGCAAAGGGCGGAGGGGGTTGGTACTCCTGAGGCAGAGCAGTTCCTACAGCAATACAGCTATAGTTTAAATGCTCAGCTTGGACAGTACGATGTCCAATCTCATGGTATGAATTAGGTTCTGCTTTGACTTCAGCATTCACTTGGATTTCCTCATAGACAGCCTGTTCAGATGAGCTGTCCTTCTTGTGGAGTTTCTTCTTAAATTTCTTTAGGTTAGTAACAACAGATGTCAGTGAGTCAATGGGGTCTCGGTGGTCTTTGGGGAGACTGGGAAGTCCACACTTGGTTCGAATGCAAGATTGGATCTTACTGGACGTCACAGGGTTCACATTTCTCGATGGTAGTTCAGGAGGCTGAGAGAGTTTGGGTGAAGAAACAGTCTGAAGAGCATATTAAAAATATATATTTATGTGTCATTACTAACACCTCAATCGCTACAGTGCTAAACAGCATTTATTTACCGGTGCCAAGTCAGCATGTGGCAATGTATTGTGTATCATGTCCAAAGATGGATATAGTCTTGATGGTTGGACATTAGAAGGTGGAGCCTCAGAGTCCATCAGGTTATCCGGTCTGTAAGGAAGCACAGGAGGTATATCTTCTTCCTCTTCCACTGGAGCTGGGGTGCTCATTTTTTCATGTCTTTGTGGAAATAGTAATTCTTGATAATCTGTCTTTACGTTTGAGATCTAATTGAAAATATAATTATTTAGGAACAAGCTTTACCTGATATAATGTATATAATATATTCAATTACAATATATTTACCTGCCCACACGGCATAGTTAATAAGTCATTAAATGGTGTAATTGGAAACATACGATGAAAATCCACCAAATCCTCAAGAAGGCGGTGGTGTCTATCATCTCCCAGGATGATATATCCATCTTTCGTAGCATCGATCATATAATGTCTGCAGCGGTCTTCAGCTCTGGGTTTTGGACAAAGGGAAGTTTCAGTAAAAAGCAGGACCTACAATACGATGTAAGTTCTGCACATTCTTACCGATAAGAAAGTGTGTAACCAATGCGGCTTTCGCTGACTCGAATGAGGAAGTATCCAGGTGGTTTACACATTAACAGTTCCTCTGAAGCTCTGCGTAAATTATTATTGTTGAGTTTTGTTCTCATCAAGAAAATACACTTACATCAAAATAATATAGTAAACTGAATCGAAAGAAGTAAAGAAGAGAAGTTATCTGATGTAAAAATATATTTGGTGCACATTAAACTTGAGTTGAATTATATACAGCCTTATCATCCACATAATTGTACATTGTATAACTTATGTGTTTGAGCCTAAATGTTCCATAGTATGGCATTAAATGTATTCATTTACAATACCATTTATGGTTGTCCCTCAAAAATACCATAATAAACACAGCATTCTGTGTTTAAGCTATAATATCTGCATGGAAACAAGCAGATAATGTGCTCTCCACCAGAAAAGTTGCGCAGTGCAGCTTTAATTATTGGAGTAGATGGTGAATTCCACATTCTAATATGTATGAATAGTGTCATCAACCATAAATTCAACACATCTCTACATTTGACACTCACTATAGGAGACATTTTACTTACTTCCTGGAAATAATGCCATGAAACCACTCTGGAACAACCCCATTCCGAATAACTGCCTCCAGTTGGCTCTTCTGAAACCAGGCCAGAGCATCTGTTTGGGTCGGGCTCCCATTCATCTTCACCTTTATCTCTTGGCGGCACTGGGAAAAAAACTATGCATCTGTCATTTTAGATTTTTAATTTGAACACTTGAAAAATCAACCAATTAAACATTTAGTCTTAGGCATGGTCTTCAGTTGTAATAACAGCTCTTACCTTGTGCGTTAGCTTCGTAGAGAGAGTGTTTAAAAATGCGTCATATAATACAATGACTCAGCTACCTGGCACACCTGTGAGAGGGAAAGGTACACTGAGATGGATAAGTCCATTTACGTAAGGCAAATTAGGGGAAATAAACAGGCGGACTGGGTTTTGTGGCATTTGCTGGTACAAAGAGCTACTGTAAATCCTGACAGTACTTTGATCATGGCTCTAAATAAGTGCACATTAGCATAAAAAATATGCAAAATACCTAAAAGATAAATAAAATGGACACCATTAAAATAAAAAATAAGGTTGTGTAGTAAACATTACAAGATACAAAATCAAATCACACAAAAACTTTTAGGAATCTCATTTTAATTCATCATGAAAAGTAAACACATCTACAAAAGTGTAGATCAATAAGATTTATGAAACTACAGTACAATCATTGTAGATCTTATTTACAATTGCTGAATTGTTTCTTCCCCTATAAAATAAAATAAACAATTTGAAGCAGGGAACTTAAGAAAAGCCCAGAAGATATGTCAACGGTAGATTTTATAATGGGAATTAACGGTAAATAAAAACTCTGCCAGATCAAATTAGGCAGTATAAAAAAAAGGCACAAAAATATTTTAATTTGACAGTATTTCTATTTGTGCCATGGTGATTGTGTTGTGCCAATTTGTCACAAAAGATTTTAGACTAAATCCACAGGTTAAAGTTTGCACAGCCAGACTGGATTCAGTGGCTCGTAAGCACCACATTGAATTACATGAACTGTCAAGAATCTGAGGTGATTTGCATTCCTATTTCTTCAAAAGCACAGCAGCAGTAAAATATTAAATTTGGAGTAATAGCAAGTAAGAATTAATACAATAACAGGGGTCTATAGTAATCTCAGATAAAGCTTGTCAAGTCAGGCTTTCCAAGCACCCAGACTGCATAGTTCAAAAGGCCATAATACTGGGCCAAAACAAGACACAAACAAGAGGAAAACTGAGACGGAATTAAGAGGAGAAGCATCTGGGATTTCCAAAAACATCAACAGCGTATTTATAAAAACCTGGAAATGTGAAATACAAATGATTAAAAATGATAAGGCTGAAAAAGCAAACAACATAATTACAGTTATCTTCATTGAACACAATGCTCTGATGTCTTTGGGAAGACCAGATGAGGTACATGTGGTCAAATATTCTTTGTTTCAATTAAGACGATCAATAAACATGGTCAACATAGTTTAAGAATTCCTCTGAAATAAACGCAAAAACTTTGTACAGAAAGACCACAAGAAAAAGTGCATATAATTAATAATAACATAAAAGGGCACTTTGTCATTTTGGTGCTATGTGTCTTCTGTCTCCATAAATACTGCTACAACACAGCCCCTGTCCAAGGCCCAGAAACCAATGTGTGCATGTTCCCCCAGTGGAAATAAAAGACAAAGAAATGCATAAAAAGACACAGTGGCTGCTCCTTGGAGATTTTGTGATACACCATTGCTGCCTGAGGTTACTGCAATGCCAACAGCTCAGGTGCATTAATTTTTGCTTCAACAAACTATTGCAAAATGGTCTACAAAGCAACTAACATAGGAATTTCTGCAAGAAAAAGTGGACTGTGCATTCATTGCACTTTAAAATTAATCATGCGTTCAGTGGAATGATGAATGTGTAAATAAAACTTGCTGGCACTAATCAGTAAGACTGTTTAAAAGTTTGGGTATTAATTCAAAGACACTTGCACTAAAATATGATGGAAGAGCCTTTAGCCAGAACATCAGATATATTAAAATTTGAAAGTCTATTTTGTTTCACAATGCACACTAGGATAATATTATGAGGTTAAAGACCACAAAGATACTTGCAATTGTGCAAACTTTGAATGCCAATAAAATCAAGGGAATACATTTGGATTGTTTTTATCTAACATGAAAAGATGTTGCTTCAGATATAAAATAAAGTCAGAATGGCAAGTGTTGGGGTAGAGGTGAAGTATACAAAAGCAGCTCAGTCAATGGACAAACTGTTGAGAAGGAGGAAGACAGGCAGAGATAAGGGTGCAGAGTCCAGTTCTGTCCAGAGGGGGGCACAGTTAAGGCGATGGTGATGCCGAATTCTCAGTCCTCTCACAGCAACGTGCAGCGGAAAAAACTGCTCTTTTTGGGCTGTTCAGTAATTTTGACTCCTTGATTGCTTCCTTGTGGGTTATTACCCTCCTATTGACATGAGATTTTTTTTTTAATTACAGTAACCTTGTCAAACTAAATATATGGCTCTTTAAATATGCCTTTTCTGCTTACCAACTTCTTGTCCATTTTTGCTTTGATGTCTCTGGCGAGTGTTAAAAATGCCTGCACGAGAATAAAATGCAATTTATGTCCATCATCAGTATTGTACAGAATATGTCAGTGTATGGACTTACATTCTCAACATTGATGTTTGCCTTTGCACTTGTCTCCATGAATTTGATCCCATACTCCAAAGCCAACTATAACAACAAGAAACTTTATTTATAGAGCTTTTCATACAAACATGCACACTGTCATAAACCAAAAAGCGCTCAAGAAGAAGCATGAAACTGCAAGATTTTAGACCGTCATACCCGTTCCCCTCTTTCTTTGGACACTTGTCGTTTGTCATTAACGTCGCATTTGTTCCCAAGGACCATTCTTTCCACATCAGCTGAGGCATGCTGTTCAAAGGAAAAGCAACATTTACTCAGTATACTGTTCAGATAAATATGGATACTGCCAATAGTCACTATCATTCAACTCTTTACAGTTTTGTAATCAGGATTGCAAATTTTTGGTTTGAAATACAGCACAATTATTATTGTATACAACTTACAATGACATAATCATCTAAATATTCACAAGTATCAATAAATCAATGAATCATTACGTTCTTAATATCAAATTACCTCTTCTATATTTCGTATCCAGTTCTTGATGTTGTCAAAGGACTTCTCATTAGTTATGTCGTACACTAACATGATACCCTGAAAAATTTAGAAGAGAAGAAATAATTAGGAAACATTTGCAAAAAGACACAATGGAATGCACTGCAAAAGACCATCAATCAGACTCACCATGGCTCCTCTGTAGTATGCAGTTGTGATAGTCCTGAACCTCTCCTGCCCGGCAGTATCCCTTCACAAAAGAAGAACAATTTAGGGTGTGTTCACACTTATTATTCAGTCCTAAATCCGGTTCTAGTCCAGTTTAGTCCAGATCTGGTTCAAGCTTATGTTTGTGCTTAGGTTTGTGTTCAGTCTTAATTTAGTCACATTTATTAATTGGTAAAGTGTGAACACACCCTCAGTCAGTGTAAGAGCAGTGACTTGTCATGTTGGCCAATAACTCTGAATATTGATAGATTTGGGGCTTTAGAAAAAAGATCTAAAGCAATTCTCAAATATTACATAGGATGTAATGGTATAATAGAGATCTGTACAAGTGCACCACTTGCATAATGGTGGTGTTATAGACATGTGTTTTGCGAATATCCAAAGGTCATTAATAGTCTTACCATATCTGAAGCTTAATCTTCTTGCCGTCTAGTTCTATTGTTCTAATCTTGAAGTCAATACCTGAAATACATTAATTATAAATGAAAATCAATATACGACATAGAAATAACATAGTCTAATGCCATAGTATTATATTGGCAACAGGCCTCAATTAGAGCTGTGGTCAAGTCTGGATCATGACAGTAATGGAGGTGAAATTCATTTAGATTTTTGCACATAATACACTCAATGTAAAACTATTTGAAAGTATTAGAAGTCCGGGAAAGGGGATGTAAAGTGAAGCTCTTCTACCTTACTGACAGTGGAGTATGCTAGCCCTGTATCTCTAAAAGGCAGTTTTGTCATACTGGTGTAGTGTCAGCTGTTTTTGACAAACACAAATAACGCTAAGAACACAATACTAGTGGTGGTAACGCAGAATAAATTACGAACACGGAAAATCGGCATCAGACAGCCGGCCAAATTGCTTCCTGACTAGCCTCTACGAAATGAATGTTAGCCCGGAGTTAGCAACAGATTAGCATATGAAGGGCTGGGTGGCTCCTGTACACTTTTGATCCAACAACGTAAGATAAATACGACAATCACAAACCTATAGTAGAGATAAAGGTTGAATTAAATGCATCCTCTGAAAATCTGAAAAGGACACACGTCTTCCCGACACCGGAATCACCGATTAAAAGTAGTTTAAACAAGTAATCGTAAGTCTTCGCCATGTTATTAGCTAGGTAAGTACTGCGGATATCCCGCCTGTGGAGGAGGCGCTCCCTTCAGAGCCGCTCAGACTGTCTTTGGTCCGGTGAGCTGTCACTCTGCAGCAGCCGAGGCTCCGGAAGTCCTGCTCAGAGTTCTGTTCCTTTTACCTTCTGTTTTTCTAAAATATAGAGCGAACCACCTTCAATACTCTGCTCCAATATTTATGAATTCAATGATTTTAAAATAATATAAGAAGCATAACATATTTGGCTATTTATTAATATTTTATTTAAGAAACTGGCCTATTTAATTTGTTCAAGCCCTCCTTCCTCAAAATAAAATAAGAAAAGGTAATTAAAATAGCGTGCATCTGAGAGTCAGATGCATAAACCCCGCCTCATCGCTTCAGTCCTGCCCTTGACGCTCACCATCACAACAGCGACGAACCTGTGAGCAGAGCGCTTCAACTTCTGTCCCAACATCACATTTCATATTTGGACAAACTATTACTCCAGCAGCAGTCATGTCGGTGAGTAACATCATTTAATTTGATAGTTAGCCTTGCATATTGTGTGCCATCATTTTACAAAGCTTTCGAGTTGATAATACGCTATGGATACTTGGGCTATAAGAAGCTCCTTTAAGAAATCTTCAGCCCAGTAGAGTTTTTACTGAAGTTATATTTATATTTATTCACTGTTAATTATTATAAACAGGTTCGGTGAATTAAAAGTTAATTAAAAGAGTTAATCAATTTACGTTAGGCACAATACTAAAAATTAGACTTGTCCGGACATGTCTGCAGCACTTTTAAAGTACAATACTTGGAACAGCCTGTAGAGGGTGTCATTACTGATTATTCCAATTTGGCGTTAAACATTTTCAGTAATTTATTTTTTATTTTTTTTATGTATCGTAATATTAGTCTGAGTTTATACGTTTTGATTTGAATTGCAGCTGGCCAGAGATCTGATGCATCCTCTTTTCTCTGAGGAACGGAGACGACATAAGAAGAAGAGGCTAGTACAAAGACCAAACTCTTACTTTATGGATGTTAAATGTACAGGTTTGTGAGGTTCATTCATGATGTCAAACAAAATTTGTATTTGTGAAAAATTTTATCCTCCCTTTCATTTTAAACTTTCAGGTTGCTACAGAATCACCACCATTTTCAGCCATGCCCAGACAGTGGTCCCATGTGCTGGATGCTCCACAGTCCTTTGTCAGCCGTCAGGGGGGAAATGCAGACTCACTGAAGGTCAGACACGTTACAGTGTAGCAAAAATAATTTACATCATTTTATCAGTAATCTCTTCAAGAACAAGTGATTTTTTTTCCACATTCACAGGTTGTGCCTTCAGAAGGAAATATTCTTGAATATTCCTGGGAACAACATGGACATCCTGTCAGATTAATCCTCTGTATGTGATTGCAGTGGAGTGAATGCTGTCTTGCCATGGCTCACAACTTTACATTCCTGTAAAATGGGCCTGGTTTGGAGTATAGAAATAGCACTGTAACAGTGTAGCACTTATTATTTTAATCAAGATAGATAATGCAGTGTGATGATAGAAATTAACATATTACACCATGATTTTGTAAAAGATTTATTGACAAGAGGGGGTGGTGAGTGAACTTCTCAAATGGTCCCTGTTAAGACACTTAGCCGTGGTATGCTATAAAATCAGTCCATTATAAACTGAAATAAACAATAAGAGATGAATGACTAATTTCCGTGTGTTCTTTGGTCTTGAAATCCCATGGCAAATGTAAGTTATAAATTTCAAAAATCAATGCAACATTTTGCTAACCTTCATTCTACTATGTACAATCGGTGTCTGTTGATAAACTGATAGTCCAGTGATGAGGAGGGTTTACTTACTCTTGCCACTCTACTGTCATTGATGCAAAGTTTAATAGTTGGCTAAGATCAAACACTGCATTGTGATCTGCACATATCTGTGACAAAAATATGCGTTTTCACCAAGCACTGTATTTACAGTGTGTATAAAGTCTGCAAGATCACAATGCTGAACTACTGAACTGAGAGTCGGGTAAAGCACAACTGGTGAATACTTCAGATCACCACTAGGTGGCACTTGAGTCCATTTGATATAATGCTACATAATCCACCATTGAACACTGGACTAGCCATATCACTTTTAAATGATTGAAATTTAAATTTCTTAATTAACTGAATGTCACGTCGAGTCATCTTAAGTGGTTATGGTATTTCTACTTTATAAAGTCCTTCCTGGGGATAACATTGATAATTACAGCTAGACATACAAAAAGCATGGGATTCATAATAACTTCAGCATTAAAAAAATAAAAGTAAAATTGTGCCATAGAAAAAAAACTTTAAGAATAAGAATTAAGTTAATCCCCCTTTTACATGGGGTGAAAATATTTTACGGCTCAAAGTGTGGAATGGAGTCAAGCGCTGATGGAATGGTCCTTGGCGTATTCTTCATCTTCACCATCCTCTTAAGGTGTTTATAGGTTGTTCAGTTCCAGCAAAGTCTGGTCTAGGACTTGGTGCATGTTCAGGTTTTCCTCTTTGGCATGTGATAATTTCTCTGTAAAAAATATATATATAAAAAGAAGAACACTGTCAATGTATGAACATGAGGCAATGTACACAAGCTGCAATGTCAGGTCCTTTGTAGATCTGTCAAACATCATTCCTTATGAAAAAGAGGTGGTTTTAATGAACTGCTGTTTTGCATAATTGCTCTGGGTAGTTGTGCCACATGCAAAAATTTAAGAACACTGTGCTCAAAATGTTAAAGACTACCAACATGTCACATCTATGTGCATGTTAGTGTTTGTGAAGCAAGCTGGAAATATGTAGAAAGAGGCACTCAAAAAAATTAACAATTCTCACCTTAAGAAAAATAATTTGATAATAGGAATAGAAAGAACTCAAAAAACCTAGGTTGTTCCCTGTTCGAGATGCTGTAACAGTTACAAACAACTGCCTAATGGTAACGTATTAAAGAGTGATATCAATGTTGTAGAAAGAAGAGTTATTTTTAATCCTTTTTTTCTGCAAAGTGCAAGGAGAGAAGGCACATATAAGAGTAGCCACAGAAACATTTAGACAGAAATCAGATGAACACAGAAAGCATCTACAGAGATGTCATGTCATTGAGGGCATGGTCCAGCTCCTCACTAATGGCCTTGTACTTGAGCTTCTGAGCATACAACTCGTCTGGAGGGCAGCAGGTGGAAAGGACAGCCACAAGAAATGCAAGAAAAGGGACAGGCCGAGATGAAGAAGACCAGAGGAAGAAGACAAAATGTAGATCAGTAATTAAGAAAAAGCACATTGAATGAGATGACACATAGTAGTTTCAACAATATTTAAATTTTACGGTAACTTAAAGTAAAAAAAATGATACTGATATATATATATATATGTGTGTGTGTGTGTATAAAGTCCTCATGTAATGCTGTGAGTGTCTCATACCTTCAAGATCGTCAATGGACTTTTCCAATTTGGCCACACTTCTCTCTGCAAACTCTGCACGAGTCTCAGCCTGACCACAAGACAAACACATGACATGAGGAAAACACACAATAAACTCCACATGCTACACTACTATTAGGCTTTAGATTATGCATTTATGTGTGCTGTCATTGAAACATGTGAAAACTGGTCTCACCTCCTTCAATTTGTCGGTTAGGACTTTGATTTCTTCTTCATATTTGTCTTCTTTTTCTGAGTACTATAACCAGAAATACATATAGACAAATTGTAATTTTTTGACACTATATTGCATGTTGACAGTGATGGGAAGAATACTTTCAAAATGTATTTAGTTACAAAATACTGATTACTTGCATTAAAATGTATTTTGTAACATAACATAACCGTTACATGGTCCCTTCAGTGTATTCTGAATACTTTGAATACTTTCACACAGAGTTGCACAGAAATTATAGTGTGAAGATGTAACATAGTATTAAAAACAGCTTTATATTTGTTTCACCATTTGCGATGCATTTATTTATCACTGATTAGAGAAGGAAAAATCACACATGTACTCACCACAAGAGCAGTGTTATATATATTTTCTGTGCAGTATATAGCATATATATAATTCTGTGCAGTTTGAGGCCTAAATTGACTGATCAAGCACTGCCATCTATTCCTTTGATTTTAGATACGGAACTGCATTTTGAGAACAACAAAATGAAACAGCAACTGTACTATTACAATTACTCAGACTTAGTATTCAGAATACATATTCTCTGTACATGTATCCCAACATTGCATGTTGATCATAAACATGTGTCATATGACACTCACCTTCTCAGCCTGTGCTTCTAAAGACTTGAGATTGTTGGTCACATTTTTCAGCTCCTCCTCCAGATCGCTAGCTTTACTGTAGAAGCAAATATCGTAAATAAAAGTGACTGACTTACTACTTAAGTTTGTGAGTTTTTTCTTCTGTGCTTACCATTCTGAGAGCTCAGCCCTTTCTTCAGCCCTTTCCAGCTCTCCTTCCAGGATCACCAGCTTACGAGCCACCTGGACACAAGAGGCAAGCAGAGATAGTTTCACTATTAACAAGACACTGACCATTAAACAAAGACAGACAGAATACAATCAGAATATTTGGGTCTGATGCTTCAATGCACATAAAAAATTGCTACCCATGGTCACTCACCTCTTCATATTTACGGTCTGCCTCCTCTGCAATGTGTTTGGCCTCCTTCAGCTGCATCTCCTGGATCTCCATCTTCTCCTCATCCTTCATTGCTCTGTTTTCAATAACTTTCATACCCCTGATGGGACAGAACAAATTAAAAAAAAAATAACGTTTTGTCCTTTTTTAGTGGGTTGCATTAATAAGTTCACAAATAACATCAATTATAACATATACAAACCTCTCGCTCTCATCTGCAGCCTTCTCTGCCTCCTCCAGTTTTTGCAGGGCTGTGGCAAGTCTTTCTTGGGCTCGGTCCAACTCTTCTTCCACAAGCTGGATTCTTCGGTTCAAACCAGCTACATCAGCCTCCGCCTAATAGAAGAAAGCACAAGTAATTTTTACTAACTATTAATCAATGTTTTCAAATAAGACTATTTGTGGATAGAAACTGATCAAGTAACAATACTAATCCCTACTATTCAAACGCATATTTACAAAAGCATGCAGCCAAATTCAAAGCCTTGGCTAGTATTCTTGTTTCAATATTATTATGCATACAAAACACAATTAACTGCTGATATTAAAGAATTATGTCATAAGAATACTACACATATAGATGCCATCAACATTCAAAAGTCTAAATGCAAAGGATAAGGCTGAAAGATTACGCACCATATGAACAACAATGTAACTGTAAAAACACAGTATTTGTAAACCCTGTATTATATTTCAATAACAATAATCAGGAATTTTATAGCCTAAATATGTTTCGTTCTTTTCATCTTCAAAAACAACATCTTTCAAAATCTCTCCCACCTCCAATATATGTCAAAATTTAGTATGTCGGTGGTTATATACTCGTGAGTCATAGAGTTCAGAGGTTAGTATGATAACTTAAACAACATTCCAAGTACAAGCAAATGTGAGTCAAAAAAAAAAAAAAATAGAGGGAACGACTGTTAAATTAAGCATGTTCTGTCTGCTCTGCTCATTTTAATGTTTATATATATATTTTCTTTTCTTAAGTGCTGACCAGTTGGCCTTCTTGGGTGTGATATGAGAGAGGAAACATCTGTCAAAGTTAAATTGTCTCAAAACAGTCAGAAAGGGATGCTGCCGTAACCTAATCTAAACATAACTCGTAAATCAGTCCACCACCATCTTGAAATCTATTTAGCAATGTGTTCTACATAAGCATACATCTGTTGACGCCACATCTGCTGCATGAAGCGCCAAGCTGAATTAAACCAGGGCCTTGAATAACAGATACTATTACTTCCTGATTCCCAAGTGAATCAATGTGCTCCGAGGAATGCTGTCTGCACACAAACAAACCTGCTATTCATCCACTTTAATTCAGCAAAAATAGCACATTACACACACACAGTCACACACATACAACAAGGCTCTTGAAGCTCAATAGATATTAGTTGTAAACCCTAACCCCATCACAACCATACCACCATGCTGGTAAAACATAACATTTACTATCAGTATCTAATCTTTGATCACATTCACACAAATACACACGGGGAATTCCCTTCTAGACAGAGGCAGCCTTGTTGCAAATAAAGAACAGAAAAATCAGGCCCATAGGTTTAAGTCAATGCAATAATATCGAGGTGCAATTTATGCAGAGAACTATTCTAATAATAATATTTAGTTTTAAATTATTAATCGCTATGGCCACAGTCTTAATTTTTCATCATTCTGAAACCCATGGACAGTCTGATTTTGAGGAATAACACCATGGTAACCAAAGGGGAATCCTGAAACAGTTGACAGGAAGTCTTCTGTAGCTTTATTCTTTCATTTCCTCTCTTTTGTGTTCTCTGTGTCATACGATTTCTCTGCTTCTTCGGCACCCACTTTACATTCTTTAGCCCACATCGATGCCTTATATGGTAAAACTATGGAGAAAGTTTGTGGTATCTGCATGCTTTTGGTCATAAACACAAATCCTATAGTCATACACTTGGAACACTTTGGAAAGCGAAACAAACTACTACTTGCTAATTTATTCCACTCATCTTGACATTGTTTATTTAGTAGCACTGCTTAATGTTGGTAATGTCAGTATCCAGCCTTCCATCAGGAAACAGAACACTTCATAAGGGACTTACAAAAGAAACAAGTAGGTGAGTGTGATATTAAGTGAAGCAAAGGAGAGGTGAAAAGAAAATCTAATTACTGGCTGATTCAGGGCAGTGGGCTAATGAGCTGCACAGTGCTGTTAGCCCTGAGTTATTTTTGACACTGCACCATACACAAAGTACAGTGACTGCAATGGTACAGCCTGTAAAATATGTGTTCAATAAATTACAACATTTACACTTTCTTTCTTGATTGTCCTGTTTTGTTAAGAATGCAATCTGTAGTTTATGTTGTGGTCCCTGAACAAACTGAGGTTAGCTTTTCACAGGCCAACTGTAAACACCCTTGTTATAACTGCAGTGCCCCTTTCAGGATGGTAAATGGCGTTCTGAATGTGTGCCCAGATGTGCTCATAAAACCAATGGACATACACACAGAAAACACAATACAAGAAATGGTAATATAATACACTCCATTATAATTATTATAAAGTTTCAACAAACATTCACTTTCCAGTTGCTATAAAAGAGAAAAATGTATTGCTATTTCTTAACTACAGAAACTTTGGTCTGTGGCTGAGCTGCAGTGACCATGCTTTAGAGTTCCCCACCAGAGCCAAACCGGACACAAGCTAACATGTGGCAGTTATAGTTGGAAAGTTCAGCATTCCCACAGAAAACTATGAAATCAAGAGGAATTTTTCCATTAAATCTGCTGGAGACATGCAAGGTCCAGAACACACTTTTTATGATCATCATCCATAATTAAAAAGCAATACTTCTTCACCGTTAGGGATTGTTTGATTAGACCACCTTATAATCCTATTTCATGCAATACTACAATAATAATAATGTGTAACGACAATATACGAGAAGGTTAACACTTTCTGATATTAATGGGCCAGACATCATGAATACAATGGACTTTAAATGTATGTACATCTTGGATTGGGGGTAAGAGATAGGAAGTGCACAGGAAGTGTGTACCATGAGTCGGCAGACAACATCCTGGGAGGGGCTGTACTGCTGTGTTTACCAATGATAGCTGCACTGATAGATCAATGGAGGTGTAACTTCCCTAATGTGGTCTGAGGAAGTTAAAGTACCATATAACAAGAGCATCTTTGAATGTAAGAAATACAAAATCACAGTGACAGCTGCTGTGTGAATTGCCGATGCCAAAACAAGCAAAACAATTAATGAGTTACCACATTTTAATAAATAGGTCCTACAGCCTCAAATGCAGTAATGTTCAATCAATGATGCAACTGTTTGTCTCAATTTTTTACTGAAATACTTCCCCAGTCTTGTGTCAATGCATTACAATTACAAAAAATGGCAAGGATATCAGAAATAAAACTGACAATTTAATGTAATGAAAGAATTACCTGAAAACCACACCAGAAATAACATGCTATAATCAGTTTACACTACAATGTCAATGTGGCTAATAGTTTTTTTTATTTTTTTTATTTTGTAGCATCCACATTTTCAAATAGTGATTCATTACCTTAACGGGCACAGTGAGGTTCCTGTTTTGATCTTACTGCCAAAGAAAGGCTTTTTGTGCCAAGGAATCTCTTCAGGTCAGTCTAATTATTCACATATGGGACCACACCACACACAGACACACACACACATACACCAATAGCTGACTCTTCGTCTTCACATTAAACAAAAACTTGTAACTAGAGTTCAGCAATATCTATTAGCCTAATCTATTCCCTTTTCCACTGTTTAAACATGAATACACAATTGTAAATCACTTATTTAAATTGGAAAAGTTGGTAACATAACATAATCTGAGGAAGATGTTCTGCTAGGAAAGTGTCCCACTGATTGCAGTCACTGACTGAGCAAACAACAAATTGTTCAATGGTGGCCACTGACTCAATAGTAACCAATCAAACAAAGGCCGTCTTGCCCTTTTCATCATCACAGCCACTCCTTCCTCCCTTACTCTCCCTCAGTCACTTCTAGGCCAACATTTGTCCTATGATTAACTAATTGTCATAAAGAGTCATGTGAAACTGGCTGGGAATGCCATTTATCTGCACTGCTAAGCACTTCCCAGGGCTATAAAAATATGGGTGAAAAAGAAGCAGGTGCCCAAGAGCCTGATGAGTCTTCAGTCAATGGATGAGATTGGTTTTACTGGCCAGCCAAAACCACACACTTTAACAATACTGGGACTGGGTTAGGCAGTGAGACCGGTGCATAGGCTAAGTCTATAAATTTGCCTGTAAATGACAGCCTATGATTTTGTGCATGAGACAGTGTTTCCCCAAGTTCAAGGGGATTCCTAATAATAGTGTGGTAACTAGTAATTTCCTATCTGCCGTGTGTTGTGATTATATTGAGCCTGCCACCTCCAAGACTGATACCCAAGTCCCACTTAAGTCTACAACAGAGTCAAGGCACCAAGTTGGGGCACCACGTAATAATACTAAATACCTAAATGCATCCACCAATGTTTTTAGTTTTTATTCTCTAAAGATAACAACTGTCTACGTGGTCCCATTTTCAGTGGCTGTGCGTAACGGCTTAGTCAGCACGCACTGGGCATGCGCATAGAACTGTAGGAATCCAAACTTTTTTCGCCAGACCAACGCCTTGCATTGTGGCCCAATCACGCCCGCGAATGAATTAACCTGCGACAACTGTTTAAAACACTGTAATAAAAAGTCCCCAAACGCAATGCTCACAGGTAGCGGTTAAGGAGTTAAGCAGTGGCAGGCGACCACTAATGTTACGCGATAGTTGGGAGTATAAATTTGTCTCACATTTTCTCGCTGGTCTCGTTCTCTGTCCAGCTCTCTCTGTAGGTTTTGAGCCCGCTCCTCTGCGTCGTCCGCTTGCTGCTGCAAACACTGGATCTTTCTCTTCACGGAATCCAAGGAGTTGACACCACCTGCCATCGTTGCGCACTACTTTTGATAAGACTACGCGAAGAAAGTAAGAAAAGGTTGTGCAAAAATATCGGATACCGACTCGTGTGCTCTGCTTATTTGTCCTGAAATATGAAAGACTGGGGTAAAAGTGAAAAAGCTTCAAAAATAGTCAATGTCCGATCAAGTCTTTGAATGGGAAAGGATAGTTCGAGTGCAACAAAAGTTACATAACCAGGATAGCCTATTGGAACGCTTAGTGATGTCCAAAAGTGTCTTCTGGTCGTCTGGAATGTAAAGTTGGTGTGCTTGGTTAAAAGTTGTCCCCGGGAATGTAGCAGTTTTGGTCCGGACACTTGGAGGTAAGAGCAGGATTAAAAAGAGCCTGCTCGATGTGCGGAACCCGGAGCGCCAGTCTGTGCCCAAGAGAGAGAAGGTCGGCGCAATGGCGTCACCGGGGGCGGGGCCTGGGTTAAGGCTCGATGCCGTGATCGTAGACCGTATAGGCCTAGTCTATGGCTGTGACTGATGTGATCGCTGAGTAATTGAAAAGGAATGAACGTAGAGACAAATTCTTTTACAGCATTTGCACGCCGACGCCTGGCACTGTTTTAGATGTAGGCCTACCCTAATGTTGGTCTTTAGGGATTATTCCTATTCTTTTATTTTACAATGGGCAATTAAGCCTGTTGACTGCATAGATCTATAATCATAAATGTAGCCTATAATAATATCAATTTAGATATTTCGAACAAAAGAGCAAAATAAAGAGATTATTGATTAATTAATCAATAAATAACCAATATAAAGACAAATTTTTTTTCAGAAGAGATTAAAATTGTTGCGATATTTTTTGCAATGTTGTTTATGAAAATTACATACTGTGCTTTTACGTAGCCTATTATAAGACCAACATAAAAAGAGAGTCTATTATGCATAATAAAATAAAAACAACACAACTGTCTCAATGACAGACAGTGCAACACCTGTTTGCTCACAGACATATTTGCTGCTCATTGTCATTGCTCATTCAAACAGGTTTGAATCATGTCGTTCTGGGCAGGCAGCCTGTCCTGCCCTGTGTACTTAGAGTTTCCTATTCACATAATAGGCCTATTAGCAAGCATGTTGGCTCAATGGGCAAGTAGGCCAGTCACTCCAGCTCTCACAGTCCAGCCAGGCTTCAGCCCTAAATGGTCTTACTGTAGCTCACTAGAAGCAATCTCCCCGATTTCATCTGCCGATCAAGCCCTTACCGAGGAACAGCTTGGAGCATTGATTTCATTAGAGACAGGAGTGTGGTGCTTGCTGTTTGTCTTAGCTGCATTCTTCAAATACCAGAACAACCCCCTACACCCCCACTCTGTGTGCTGCCCTTCCAAATACTGTCGACAATACTCCTTTCTCTGTAACTGTAACTGTACCGGCTGTTCAAACAACACTCATTAATTTAAGTTCTCTAATGTATATATTTCATGCAGCGGCATGGACTGTTTACATCTCTCACCTATTGACCTATTATACCAGTAAGAATAGCTCTTTATGAAGGTCAGTTGTTTGTTCAATGGTCTTTATGTTGTTCTTTCTCATGGCCCTCCAGTTTTTTGTTTTTTTTTATGGATGTGATCGGGTGGTCCCTATGTGAATTCAGACATTTAATGACGTGACTGACTGCTGCTTTTGATTATATGGGAGAATATTCTAGTAGTAATAGAGGCTTGCATTAGCAATATAGCAATTCTTACATACAGTTTTCTTCTTTTTGGCTGTATGAATGAATATATAGCTACAGTTCTTAATGCCAACTTTAGCGGCCAATCATCTTAAAGGGGTTGATTATTCAAACAGATATTTTCAGGTTAAGTGGATGCTTAATATGAATGGTAAGATCTGGGCCACTTTTCCCTGTAGTGTGAATCCAGCCTCTCAGTCCAAGTCCTTTTGTCAGACAGTCCACTTGACCCACTTTACAAACGCAGCTATTCTGAGTTTGTTGAATCAGTGTGTGAGGAGACACTGTGGCCCAGGTTTTTACAGTCTGTAGCCTATAATTCAGACACTTCCTTCTTTTAGTGCAGCCCCATGTTTCCATGGGATTTCCTCCACAAGTTTTACACAATGCCACATCTTGGGGCACGGAGAATGAGATGTTTATTTTACAGCAAAGTAGCTCCCCTTTTTACTGCATTTGTGGGTTGTAACTATTCTCTGTAATATACAGGTATATTTTAAAAGAGCTTGACATGCATAAAACAGGATTATTTGCTGTGTTGATTGAAGTCAGTGTAATAATATGGTATGGTAACTCTTCTGATGATCTTATTTTAATACTTGCTCCAAATCTTAATTATGTTTGAAGTTCTCTTTTTACATTTATTAAAAATGGTTCTTTTACTGTACCACAGTGACAATAAAGCATGAACATTCTTACATTTATTTTTAATTATCTTAAACTATTTTTTGAGATTTAGTACTTTGACTAGAGTACAGATTTACTGCTTTTCTTGCTGGCATTAATATTACTGCAGCAGCATATCACAAGCTCACTGGTATGAGTAGATTCCCAGTTAAATTAGATGTTGCTGAGTTGTCCACATACACTCATGTGCATGATTGTCAGAAACCCACTGAGGTTTGTGTTGCTGCCAACTATCTCAAATATGATCCTTTACCCAGATTGCACATAATTAGCCACAGCAGCACTGGTTTTCCAATGTTACGCTACATTTACCAAAGTTATTTCAGTGTACACGCATATGCACTTAAACCATGGTTGTTCTGATAACTTTGTACAACTCCTCCACCCTATCGTCTCCTAGCCTGAGCTTGACTGTTGTGCGTTGGGGCCAGGCTTGAGTGCAAACCAAACTGAGTGAGAGTGTATCAGGGTTTCAAAAGGGTGCAGAGACAATGCACTTCCATTAAAGGTCCCATATTACACTATTTTTTTTAATCTATGTTATAATGTTGTTTCCTCATCAAAAACATACCTGGAGTTGTGTTTTGTTCCAGTCACATGTTTAACACACAAACCCTGCTTATTTAGGCTGAGTTCTTCTCTCAAAAGGAAAACACACTATCCATCTTATGATGTCATGTGGTAATACAGGAAGTGTGTTTTTAAACTCCATACATCTTCACTAGAATCATTTGTATAAATTCAGCCATGGAATTGTATCTCTCTACTGAACTAAAGTTAAAAAAGGTAAAACTACTGCTTCATGACATCACACGGTGAAAGAGAGCATTTTGAGCTTTGGAGATGTAGACAGGCTTAGTCAAAGGATTACTCAAATGTGTGAATGAAACAAAACAGAACTCTGGGTATTTTTTTGAGGCAGTAACAAGGTTTGGCTTGGTAACTGCTTTCAGCTCATGAGAGTAAATTTTGTGTAATAGAAGTGTCATTAGTTACATACCTAAAATGAGGGTGCAGACACTAGGTGGGGTTACATTGCACCCTTTTGCACTTCTGTAGACCAGGCCTGGTTGAGGCTAGCTGTGGTTTATCAAAACGCTCACCTTTCAGTGGCTACAATGGAATGTAAGGTTTCTGAATGGTTCTGAAGCCTTCACACTGGATCAAAGTGAACTCACAGCTGGTACTGGATTATTCAAAGTCCAGTTGCATGGGGCATATATAGAGCTAGTTTTCCCATAGTGCCATGGAAACTCAAGTGTTGTGTATCCATGTTGCCAGGAGTAGAGGTTCCACAACAAAAGAAAAAAAAAAAAACAATACAGGTGCAATTTAGGGCAAGAATATTGTGGTCTTGAAACAAAATACATACTTTGTGATTGTAGTACTAGTCAAAGTATTGTAGTAGCAGTAGTAGTAGTGACAATGCTGTTGTTGGATTTGTAGTCATGGTAATGTGCTCTACAAATAAACTTTATTGATTGTTAAATTAAGTATTTATTATTTTATATAGAGAGAAATCCTAGATGGATTTTTTTTTACTCACATCTGCAGCTTTCTTCTCAGACAGTTCCAGTTTTTCCTGAGCGTCTTTGAGCCCTTCTGAGAATTTGTCTAGTTCATCTTCAGTCTGCTTCATCTTCTTCTGCAGATCGATCAGTTCCTCCTCCAACTACAAAAAATGTTAACAAGTGAGCCATTAACATGGTTTTCTGTACCCATACTTTATAATATGCTGAATATTTTATACATTAATTGTAAAACTAGTATTGGAATTAAATACTCATACTCAAGTATTTATTTATTTTTTTTTTTTAAATAGGCCAGAATTAAATCATTCCTTAATAGTTTTTGAATGGCTTAGGTCTATATCTTTGCCACATATAGTTGTAATAATAAAGAAACTTCTTCAGTATGATGACATATGCAGGATACTGATAAAGCTATTTTGGTAGCGGCTCATGCTTGAAGTTGTTTAAGCGTTAATGGCTTCCTATCAGTCTCTCGTGACATAAATGGTGGTATGCAGAGGCTAATCTTCTTTACAAATACCACTGAAGCCCATGTGTGTCCACAGTGAGTTAAGTGTTTGGCCTAATCAGTATCCCCCCTGAGAAGAGCTGCCGATAATCCCCATGAATTCCACACTGTCATTGTCTGTAGGTCACACAGAGACCGAGGTAATGATAACTTTAACTAGAGCCTTAATAAGTATGGGCACTATTTGCATGTGTGCCAATGGAGACAGTAAGCCATGTGTTGTGTTTGACATTAGACTTCCAGATGGACACTGGACATAATCTTTATTACCTCAGACTAATGAGATGTCACCCTCTTCACCTTGCTCGAACAGTGGGTGGTTCGAGCCAAAATACCAACCAACCAGTATGGATTCTTCTTGTCCAAAATGCTATTACATTACATATTACATTACACAAAAATACACTTTGCTGTTCGACTCATTAGACTATAATTAATGGCTTTGAGGTTCATTGGTTGAAACATTTACCCTTCAACTACAGGGGGTGTAACATTGATGCACGTTTAAACTTTATATTAAAGGTGCTCTATACACTGCTTTTCCAGTGTATGCTAACTTGTTGTTGTTTTGTCTGGAATGTCCAATAGTAGTGCATTAAACTAATCCATCTGTATGGAAATAAGCATGTGATGCAACTAGGCCAAGTTATGGAAAGGTGGCTCTGTACTCACAGAAAGAATGCATGTTTTCAAGGTATTTCTTAGCAAAAACATCTGTAATTGAACAGTTCAGTTCAATATATATTTAATTCCATTTTGTGAAAAATTACAAGCACAAGAATTACATCTTTTTTTTCACCAAAAAATTGACAGTGCACCAAAAATCATTAGCTATATGGCAATTGCTGTGAGGGCAAAATATGATCATGTCCTTGTATGAAAGCCATTGCTAAAAGTACATGTATTATTTTCACATATACAACTCACTGTTGTGAAGCAGTTTACTTTGTGGCGGTATGTTTGGTATGGTGTAAACCA